AAGCATCAATGCTGACCACTGTGCAGCCCAGTCCAAGTCCAAGTCCAGTGCTGTCAACTCCAACAGTCAACTCCTACAGTATGTAGTAACCAAATCTGGAGCACAGTAACAAGAAAGATTAAAATGTTCTCTGTCTTCATGAATATTCAAAAGCTCCAAAAATAAAAGCTTCTCAAAATCAGGTTGCAAGGTGGTAAAATCTGATCTTGAAAAAGCTATATATGAAACTTAGGTGTTTTACGTTGACACCATTTTGATTTTTAGAGAAACTGCAAGCAAAGTAACTGTGAGCCACAGCTGTATATGTAGTTTAAGGTGCAGAGTCAACCAATCATATTTCTTCAGAATGAACAGTGAAACATGAACCAGATTAGACGAGGGTAAACAATGCAGGAAATGCATTTAAATTGAGAACATGAGGCACGTCTTCAAACAGAGGGTTGTAGGACAAAGTAAGCAGCACCCTGGCCTCCTTCAGATCTGATCCACTCGTTTCGTTGAAGAAGCAGCTGATGGAGACCCGCAGATCACTGTGGATCACAACCATACAAGCTGAGAGACCCAAATAGCTTCCTCTTGTTTGTAACATTTCTTCTTTTTTGCTGTGCTTTTCTCACAAGAGTGGAAAAGTTGGGTTTTAAAAAACAGTTTTTTGTGTAGATGCTACATAGTTTCAGGAGTATTAAACAGCTTCATGGTAGCAGTTAGCTACTTAGTTAGACTTGGAAAGAACAGCTCTAATTATTTATAATGTCAGGGTATAATTTTGTTTTGTCTGTAATTCTAATAATACATTTTCTTTAGTATTACGATATGAAAAGGCACAGCTGTGGTAGAATGTACAACCAGCAAAGTGCATGTTATTTACCAAAGTAGAATGTAGATTATGCCAAATTATTCTGGTTGAAGTAGTCAAATGTGTTATGGTTCCTGCTGAAATAATGATAAATTAATTTCTCAAGATCTTTTCTCCATACTAATGCACATCTGGGGTTCCAATGTTTGAAGAAATGTGATAGTTCAGACCATTGATTTCTGACTTATTTAAAGCATCTTCATTTGGTAGCCTAAAGTTTCATCTGCAGTTAGTATATTTAATAAATTTGCACACTCCAGAGGGGTTAAATGAACTGGCAAAGATTATAAGGAGAAAAGTCATTGCATATAGTTGGATGGTTCTTTCTGTAGCAAACTGCTTAGCGTCTGGTACTAATTCATCCGCTGTTAATTCTGTTAGTGTTGCAGCTGTCAAATGTTTGGCAGCGACAGATTGCCTGCATTGCTACAGGGCCCTTCTGCTTGTTTTCCACTGTGCTGAGTTTTCCGACTGTAGAATTTTGACTGATCCAATTGAAGCAGCTTTACCCATTGAGCTTCTTCTAGAAAGTCCAACAACTAGATGAATCCCCTTTATTATAATGATAATTACTCCTTTCCACTGATACCTGTGAAAACGGTTTGTTCCATTTTTATTGATATTTTATTGGCATTTTATAATCAGAATGGTGTGTGACAAGTGTGAAATTTGTTGTCTTAAGGCAGTTCAGCTGGTATTTTAATGTTTTAATTTTTGTGCTCAGATGAGACAGGCTTTCACTTTCTAAACACGTTCTTTCGTTCCTGTGAGGACTAAGGGTGCCCCTCTCCTGCCACGGTCCCAGCTCATGCAGGGCTGATGAAGAGACTGCATGATGTTTCCTTCAGGCCTCGCCTGCCTTGAAGCAGTGTGGGGCTCCACCTGGAAGGACAGCCCTGACCAGTATTGAAAGCAGGTGGCAGGAGATTCGTCTTCAGCCTTGGCCATACTGGAAGTTGGGCAAATGTCACCACACATTAAAAGAGAAGAAAGCCTTTAGTAGACGATGTGAACACATTAGGTCTCTCTGGCTGCTCTCTGACACAAGCTAGGATCATTCTTGTGAAAATGCTTTGCAGCAATTAATTAAATCTTAGCACACAAAAGATATAACATTTCCGAGTTCTTTAAGAGAGCCATGCTGTTGAACGTATTTCCAACATCTCTAATTTGACCTGAAAGACTCAATTTATTTGATTCAATGTGAAACATATTTAATGGTGGTCCTTGTCTGAATTATCCACTTAATTTGCAGTAATAAATGCATTTTTTAAAAATAAATGCTTAAGAAAAATGTAATGGTAAAATGCTTTTACATTCAATCTTCATAGAATGATTTCCAGGGTTATGATATGTCAGCTTTTTTGTGTCCATTTCAGTTTCTGTGAATGCCTATTTTATTACTGAGTGAAACCATGTGTGATTAAAATAAGTAAAACGAATGCTGCTCCTCAATAACATTAATATGCGTTTTAATATTTTGAGCTCGTTCAGTATATTGATTATAAAGCAGCTGGTCTCACAGTGAAACTAAAGATGGTTGTGGAACTTGAGTAATGTATTCTAGAATGTGACATGCAGTTTATGGTTTGAGCTCCCAAAGACAGGAGTTCAGTTGATCACCAGGTTGGGGATCCTGTTTTTACTTCAACCTTTCCTTGAAATCTTTAATAAACCAATCTCACACAAGCCTTACCCATATCCAACCCATCTTATTATTCAGAACCAATGTCATACCCATTTATGTAATGGAAGCGCAGCACTGTATGCCCTTCTTGAGAGAGAAGGCAACCGTCCACACGTTTTCATGGGCATTAACAGCAGTTCAACCTGTTCTTTCTTGATGCTGCCGACACTGTACAACAGGTTGGAGAGCATGGGCACTGGCTTCCATATGCCAGCACATCTGTTTGTCTAAGATTTGTCCATTTCAGCCAATGTCTTGCTTCAAGCATCATTTCAAGGAGAAGAGATCGGACATTATGTATTAGAAGTTGCTAGCTTCTCTTCACTTAAAAAAAAAAAACAACTGAGATCTTCAGGTTGCTTATTGAAAAGCTTTTTTTGAAGGTGCTTGCCATCAGAATGTATTTTATAGCTTTTTTTGTTCATGTTTTTAAACTCTCTTTTCATTAAATATATTCATAGAAGATTCTAACAGTATAAACCAAATGTGTATTTGGCATTGTACTTCATGCATTAGACGCTATAAAAAACACATTTCAAATGAGTGCCTTGAGGACTCAAACATTTAAATGCATTGCTTTGTGTGTGCTTAACAGGAGATGCCTTTAAGTATTTTAATTGAGCTTTTTCAATGAAGTAGAAAAAAATAAGTCTTCAGAAACTGAATAAGGTTACCCTTCTGGTGAAGTGCTAGTTCACACTAAAAACATACTGGAAAACTTGCTTTTCTGCACACTAATAATGCATGTTGCTAAGTGAAATACTCATAATGATAGGTGTTAAATAAAAATCTATACAGTGTTGATAGTAGTCTTCTAGTACATTGAAAGAAGTTTTCTCCCAGAAACCTTTGAATTTCCAACAAGCAGCCTTGATTATATACTTAAGAATTTAATGGATGTACTGCATATCAGTATATTTAATATTTGAAGACAACTGATTACAACAGCTTTGGGAAATAAAATATAAACTAAAGCTAATATTTCTTAAAATATTAATATTAAATGAAAAAAGAACTGTGTTTTGAACTCCATATCCTAAAATCCCATCCTAAAGGCCAGAGAGGGCCACACATTATAGATCAGAAGTTGTAAGGACAGCCAGACTGGAGGACCTTTGAGGATTATAAATGAGACTCCTCTCATTTATAATCCTTCTTATGTTCTTATTACTAAAAGAAAGCAAATTTGCATTCTATCATTTGGACATTTGATTAGAAAAATATGTAATATATTTAACAATTAAAATGGATATATCCTTATTTAAATAATTGCTTAATGTAAAATTGTTATCAAACAGATGATGCTGTTATCGAAGGTGCCTGAAAATGTCTGATAAGTTTATGGTAAATCTTTCATTTATACATTACGTGTCCTGTACCACATCCATGATCAGACATTTTACTTAGTATGCTGTGTGTGATTGTACACCTAACCCTAGCTTAGTTTATCTGTAAAAGCGTACCCAAGGTTGCATAACATTATTTGTGCTTGCTGTGTTATTATTGCCTGTAAGCCTAAGCCTAATAGAAAAACATATGTACAGTACATTATTAGCAGAGAAATTGTTTATGTGCAAACCTAGAGAATAAATCCTCTGGATTTTCAGTTACTCGTTTGTATAGAACCTCCTCATTGGAATTCATGTGAAGAACCTAAATTAATTTATCATCCTAGGAAATAGGAAACTAACAAGTCTTTGAAAGCAAGAAAGTGGATGCACCAATGTCCTTGGGTGCTACTTGGTCTGTGAAAACTACTGACAAATAGTAGAAACATAATATGTAGAGTAATTACCACATTTATTATTATTATTATTATTATTATTATTATTATTATTAGATTGCTTTTGTCCAAAGTAATTTAAATACTTATATACGTACAGTAGGTATTAGATTATAGGGTTAATCCCCAAAACAGGACATGTAGTAGCTTGTGAAGTTTGCCTGTGCTCATCTGAACTATAGGCAGTGAAGTGTATGTAAAAAAAAATGACCAGAACAGGCCTTCAGTTAACATATTGTGAGAATGAGCTCAACAGGATACAGGCTACAATGAAGTGATTTTTTATTTCAAGGGGCATTTTTGTATCCTTTAGCTCAAGAATTGTCTAATGTTGATTTTGTGAGGTAAGAAGAACCTTTTTTCAGAAGCTCACCCAAAAGCAGTCTTGTTTCTGGTCTGGAAGTGTTAAATCAGATTTAGAAACACATCAAGCGCTTTATTTTTTTGTCTTTTAAAACATTTAGTAAAATAAATATGGTTTTGGAGACCTGTGGACAAATGGCTTTGAGAAAGCGCTGTGATGAAAAATCTTTTTAGTAACCTTATATAAGTCTGCATGTTGTTTGTAAGGGCACGTTTAACAGTCTCAGAAAATACTGACACTGCCAGTAGACAACGGATAGACAACATGGGTATTTGTATCTTTTTTAACCATTTGTCTCTCTTTGCTTCAGAGCTCCTCGATTTAAAGGTTACCAGCAACAGGACAGCCAGGAGCTCCTTCATTACCTGCTGGATGCCATGAGAATGGAGGAAACAAAGGTAACAGATGTTTTGCTTAAACTACACAAACTAAGTACATTTTTATTCATCTTGATTTTTTATGAATCATTATTAATGTAATCTCTCTGGAGTGCAACCTGGCACTCTGACCTTTGTGTCGGGTGCCTCATCCTTACCCTGTGGAAGCCAACTCCCAGCCCTCCATCCTTTGTCCATTACAAGACGGATCCTATACAATCTCAGAAAGAAGGACAGAAAAATGAATTTGCAATTTATCATTCATTGCGTAATTTCTGCTGTGTTCCTAAATGACGCTTCTCTTCTCTGTCTACCGTACTAATAACAGCTCAGCTCCACTATGACCAACTCAAGCAGCTCGGGCTGTTCTCTCTCTTCTTTTCCACGCCTCTGACCGCTTTTAAACTCTGGTCTGTCCTTGTCTTCCTCTCCCACCCTGCCAGATTCACTTTGCAGGTTTTAGTCTTTGCATGTTGCCAACCGCTCCCTCATTAGGATGTTTATTTTGTGTGCTTGGTTTTACATAATTTGCTTGGATGTAAAAACCATTAAAATTGTAAAAGGATTCCTGCAATATCCTTAGTATTGCAGACAGTCATTTATGGAAATCAATTTATGCCCAGAAGTAACCCAACCCGTCGGTCAAAGGGATTTAATTAGACATAGAATTCACAGAAACACAATCACAGAGAATGGAGGGGGGGGTCCATGCTTTCCTGTCAGCGCCACCCTCCTTGGCTCACATGTAGAGAGACCTCAAGCGAGGCTTCGCACTGCTCCAGGTGAACTTATTACCCAGGGAGCCACTGGTGCCCTGACCGAAATCCTGGGCCAAATTCAATTGTTTGATGGCCAAATATGCCATCTTTGGAAACCAGGGATATTTGCATAATATGTGAAAAATATTTCTCATTTCTAGCTTCAGGAAGTCAGATGAATCCTGAGATCATATTGGCAGTATATGAGTTGGTACTCATGTGCACGCTGTGTGAAGATTATTATGGAATTTTCTATTCTGTCACTAGCGATTTCTTCATTTTTGTGTGTGGGGGAGAATTTCATTTTTTCGGGGGGCGTGCATATTCCATTCAACATTCATAACCAGAAATAACTTTTTGGGTGATTTCTGTGTTTCTGTAGTTTATTTTGTTCTCTCCACTGGCATTGGCAAAATATGTTGTGGACTGCCTGTATTTTTTTAATGTTGCACACTGGACAAAACAGTTCAGTGCCCTGTATACGTGCATTACAATAAAGGTACAAATCACAGCTTCCATGCATTTATCATCAGGAAGCCACTTATTACTGTGAACGTCTCAGGAGCCCAAACCCTATCCTTTGAGGTCCACTATTATTACACCTTAATCTTGCAGCATATCTCACATAATAGTGTACTTTAATATTTTCTGTTGATTTGCTACATATCAACCCTATTGATATGGCCAGTAAGCTGCATACTGATCAAACATTAGCATCCGAAATGGTCTCTCAGTTGCCTTCCCATGGCTGGGCCATGGTCTTTTGTACGGTAGCATTATGGTACCTTGTTTTTGGCAAGTGTAGGGTTGGTCCCACCGTGTACAGCAATTAAAACTCCTTTCAGCGTGAGCTGTATTATTTTTTTAACGGTCACTTCATATCCCCAGGCAGCCCAGCAAGTGACATGGCTAGTAAAATAGAGCACAGTGGCTGCACGGTGGGACTGCAGACATTGTGACAAGATGAGAATGGCAGGTCTATGGATCTATTCAAACTTGTGAGCATTGACAGTTGTGCCAGTTAGAAATTGCTAGTTGTACCCGGACGGCATCATTGTGTGTCCTGGGAACTCCACATCTGCTAATCGAGCTATTGTTGTGAAGTGTCACTGCCATGTGTTTTTGAAGGGAGGAGGCTTTTAGTAATGCGCACTGGCCACCAGAATCCTGTAAAGATGATTATGGCCACTAACTCATTTGGAATCATATCACTCAGAAATACAAGTCCGCCTTTGCTGTGTAATGTGTCAGAATTAAACTCTTAAGTATTCGCCTTGTCCATATTTAGATCATATACATCGACTGGGCGCTTTTTGTCTAGGCTGCTTCTTTCTTTTTCCATTTAGCAGCCTACGAATGATTCTGTACTGGGAATATTTAAAGTGGTAATAATAAACCAAATATTACACTTTCTGAATCTGAATTGAGAAACAAAAAATCAAATTTAAATAAATACATTCAATGACTCGTTCAATTGACACATTTGTCTATGTAGTCACGTATTCTTACACATTTAAAAATTATCTGGGGAAAAAAGCAAAAAAAATCTAAGAATTTTGATTAATTTAAAGAAAATGAACAATTTAATTATTTAAAATGTTAAACAAAGGCATTCGTAGTAAAATTTAAAAATAATGTAATTTTTAATTATTGGTTTCAGATACACAAAGTAGCTAGTAGCTAGGTTGTAAAGTAGCTAGATCCTGCTTCTAATTGATTAATGTCTTGCACTACAGTCGCCAGCTCTGCGACCATCTAATAATGACGCTTTTGACCTAAATAAACGGTCTAGTGCACTGAACTTCACAAAAGGGGGCTACTTGTTTGGTCCTATACTGTATAGAGCTTGGCCAATTATCTATTGATTGCTACTTTGTCTTTAATGTTGGCATAAGGATAAAAGGGCGAAAGGAGAACAGAGTCACTGGCCATGTCACATTATATAAAGGCCTCGAAATCATTAGTTATGAGAGAATAATGTGGGCTCTACGGTGTACATTCCATTTGTATTGCCTAACTATGCTGTGTGTTCACATATACACTGTTTTGAAACAGGGTTTATTTAAACAATATGCTTTTTTATATTTTAGATGTGTGTCTGTGGATGTATTCAGAGCTATATGGTATTTCTGACAGGTGGACCTATCCAGTTTTTGTAGTAATAATGATTATGCAGTAACAGTACTTTTTATTTTTATCTTTAAGCCCTTAGCTCTGTTTTTGCTGTGTTATGTGTTTTTGTACAGGGAATTTGCTGCTGAGTAATTTGTTAAATAAAAGTAGTTTGGTTTTAGCCACATTGTTGAAACTAAAATCCTCTTGGGTTTGTTTTTCTGGCGATATTTGATCTAATGATACTGAAATAATCATGTTAGATCTGTGAAATGGCCTTCTCTCATTTGTGACTGTTCTCATTTAATTCATGTTGAAATCTTTTATGAATGTTATATGGGCATGTTCTGTATTTTGGCAGATATTCCTTTATTCTGCTGAAAACTGTAATCAGACTTATTTGTTTTTGAGCCATTAACATCTTTCTTTAATAAATGTTTTTCAGCGTATAAAAGCTGGAATCCTGAAGGCATTTAACAATCCTACTGAACGCACTGCAGATGATGAAACTAAACGGAAAGTGAAAGGTAAGATTTATGAAAGGCAGTCTTAAAACAAACTTAGCTCAATAATGCCATCTGCTGTTAAAATGGCAGAACTGCAATCAAAATGAAATTAACCTGCGTTTTTTAATCCTGTTATGAGCTTGTATCATCCAATGCTTTCAACGTTTGAGCTTCTTTATATATATATGAAACTTTTCTGTATTTTTTTTTATTTTTAAGTCAGTCAGTCTTAATATTAAATTGCTGAAAAGGGGGAACACATTAATAGCTGACGGAGAGTTTAATTCATTGAAGCTGTATAACTTAATATTTAAATTACCAATTTAAATATCAGTGTACTGTAGTTTGTATTCTCTCATCCTAATCCTTAGTGCCGTCCAAGCTCTGTATATTGTGATACAGACATGTATAACAAGGTATGTGATGTGTTTTTGTGTAGGTGATGTAGGTTACGTACAGTTCTAATGCAAGTGTTTTATTCATAATTAGGGATATTTAGTAAAAAATTTTAGTAATAATGCTAGATAGTGAGAAATGTTTAAAGTACACACAAACACATTACACACTTAAATATTTTGTAATTCAGCGCAGCAATAAATGATTAAATAAAGGATTCTGAGGGGCAATAGAATTGAATTGAAAACACTCAGCTGAATGAATACCTCACCTTGAAATGTACATTTCATAATCAATCCTAGAGCTAGGCCATATGATCAAAAAGATAAATGCCAGTTTTGGTTGGCCTCTTGCATAAATTAGCATTGTTTGCCAGTATAAGGATGTGTCTGTCTTTAATTCCTCATGTGGTAGTTCTTTGCAATAAAATGCAACAAAAGGTTTCAGTATTTTTGGATGGGTTTTTTTAAATGTGATTTGTGCTATTTGTACAATGTTAATTCTTCGGTTTACAGCAGGATAAATAATATGATTTGACACCAGACACCATTAAAAGAATATTTACTGGAGCTTTATTAATCTAAAAATGAAATGTATTTTTTGCAAAATAATGAATACAACAATGAATTATACAGTAAACACTTCACTCAAAATACATGCTAGAAGTGTATTTATAGATGTTTATTAATATTTGTTCTGTCTCTTGTACAGATTTAATAATCAAATGTTATTGATGGTGTGTATCATTGACAAATTATCTCAAAGTATTTCAGAATTGACAGTTATATGCATAATTAACATTTATATTTTCACAGCCTATGGAAAAGAAGGAGTGAAGATGAACTTTGTTGATCGGATCTTTGTTGGTGAACTCACTAATACAATCATGTGTGAGGAATGTGAACATGTAGGTATCTCTGATTATTTGGTTCACCCTTGGACACTGTACTAGAGAGCATTTTTATTAATTTCATTTGTTAGTCTTTGTCTATATTAAATATGAATATGCATTTTCATGTGAATTCACAGGCGTTTGTATGATCTTTCCTGTGAATTCAAGGTCTTGCCTATAATTTACACCACACTAGGTCTATGGGGATTTCTCTGCAGCCACAAAATACCCTGCTGTTCCCATAACCTGCAAATGACATAGACTTATCACATCAAGTAGTCAAAATTACAGGAAGTTCAAAATGTGGTTGGTACTCTTCTGCTTCAGCATTAATCAACTCTCAGCTGAGGGAGACCCAAAGATAGGTTGTGCTGCACACTTTTTGTAGATGCCATATTATTAGAAATGTCCTGCAGTGTAAGCTGAAAAAGAAAGAACCAGGTAAAGCTTTTTTATTTTAAAAAACTGTCACTGAATTTGTCTCTTAATCACACCACATTATCACAACTGACTTTTAGCATCTTCAGATTTACACAGTAAGAATGTAATGATTGAGAAAGCACTTGACTAAAACTTAGCAACAAAGTTAGCTTTCATACCGAGGTGGTGTTATTATTACTGTAAACAATAGTAGTAAAAATTGCAGTTACTACCTGCAACAGAATATTTTAGAAATATATTTTAGAAATTCTGTCTATTTTCTAGATCTCGACTGTGAAGGAAGCATTCATTGATATTTCTCTACCAATAATTGAAGAAAGGGTAAGACATAATATTCTGATTATAATATTACTTATGATTAAGGCTAGTATGGCGTTATCTGTTGCAAATGCTGTTATTGTTACTAATATGTGAGATGTTTGTGGATTATGAGAGAATCTTTGCTTTTAATATAACAATTACTTCACTGGTCACCTTACTTTTACAGTTGCAACCCTTGGCAATGACACTGATGAAATGAACAAAACTGAAAATAAAAATTGCAAAAACAGAATGTGTAGAATATCCTCAGTGAAAAACAGCATTCCATTAAGACACAAATCCCCTAATTGTGCAGCATATTGTAAAAAAATAGTGAAAGAGAAAATGAACTTTTTAGACCACCACATTAAAAAATAGTGAGGAAGTGAGCACAGGGACATTATTTTAAACTGTGTTTTATTTTTAATGGTCAGGAAAAAGCAAAGTTATATTTGTGTGTGTGCACTGTCTCCGCTTATGTGTTTGCTCACTGCTTAGTGTGGCACATGAAGGTTTGATAGAGATTTTGCAGTTGCATGGCGAATTGAATGGTGCTATCAGGCTGCTTCTTTCAACCTTAAATTGTTGAACCTGTGTGCACCAGGCACAGCAGTATGTTTTATTCAATTTTTCCTCTTCGCGACTTAATTCTCACTGGCTCTGTGTTTCAGTGATTTCGAGCAAATTTACTGTGACTGCTCAGTGATTTAAATCCAAATTTACCGTGACAAATCCTAGCTCTGCTTATGACTATTGACTACACCATCATGAATTGTTGGCTGATTTCAGACTCTGCAATTTCCACCAGAATTAACCCTTGTAGTGTGAAAAGCTAGATAGCCCTTTTGAGCTGAATGAGGTCTAATGTGAAATTGGATTAGAATTTTAGTAGGCCTAGTTCATTGTAAATACTATTGTAATTACAATTTCATTTATCTTTTATCTTTTTTTTAATCCATGCAGTTATGAACAGATAATGTAGAATTTCGACCGCTGACATCTAATTATCGATTAGCTTTCACAGACTGTGGACTGTATCTTGCCAGTTATCCCTCTTGTCTTCTTGTCTCCTTTTCCCATGGGTCCAAATTAATTTGTTATTAATTTCCTGCAGTTTGTTTTTTTATAGGGTAAGGTAGGACATTGCAGCTTTACACTGTAGATTTGCTGTAATAGCACTTATCTCTCTAGCACCTCATAAGACATTTTATCAAATGTTTTGCTGAATGTACAAAATGTTTGTTTTGTATGCTTTTCAAAAGGCCTACCTTTAGCTTTTGTTTATGTCTCTTTTTAAGGTTTCTAAACCTGCCAATCCAGGAAGAGGGAGCAAAACCAACAAGCTACAGGAGAGAGAGCAGGATCAGTTCATTTTGTCTGGTGACAACACAGCTACGGTCACACTGGCTCATTTGCCCAAAAATAGCAAGAAACACAGTACAGCGAAGGACAAGGTAAGAAAAACACATTTCAATTTCATAATTGCACAGTTTCATGTTTTTCATTTGGCAGATATTAATTCACTGATGCTATTTTTGTTGTTGTTATTATTTATATTATCTAGATTCAGCAGAGCAACTTGAAGAAGCATGAAAGGAAATCTTCCTTTGGTTCTGAAGAGAGAAATAATGATTATTCCCAGACCCGTTCAGAGGAGGACTTGGCTGGAGAACCCAAGAATAATTACAAGGACACTGGTAGTTCAAAAGTGGCTAATGGAAGTCAATCTGAGGCAAGTGAGAAAGATGGGAGTCACTTGGATAGCAGCAATGATGCAGACAGTGAGGCCTCAGAAAGTGAAAGCACTTCAAAGCACACTTTAAACAGCAGCAGCGCTGACTGTTTCAATGCTGGCGGCTCCAATCAGACCCAGTTAAAGAGTGACTTGTTTCACAGCAAACAAAAGGATGGCAATCACATTGACCATCTCGCAAGTGCAATGTCCAGACTTGGCCTTTGCCATAACGTGCATGAATCCGTGATCCATACTCATAGTCAGGAAGAACAAACAGACATCATGTCAAATAACAAAGATGCATCAAAGGAGAAACCCTTGATATCCCAGAATCCACAAATAGCTTTCCAATCCTTGTCACATAGCTATGTGCCTTGTTCCAAAGAATGCTCTGTACAGTCATGTCTGTATCAGTTTACTTCAGTGGAATTACTGATGGGTAACAACAAATTGCTGTGTGAGAACTGTACTGAAAAAAGACAAAAACATCTGAAAAAGACCATTACATCAGGTGAGTTGAGGTTGCTTAGTAAGTATGTTATTTTTTATGGGTTTTTTTTTGCTGGTGATTTTGACATTTTAATCAGTTACAAAAAATAGAAAAGTGAGAGATTTAAATCAAGAATAAAGTGAAACACGTGTATTAGAATGTATCAGCATTGTATCACTGATATTTTAGGTTGTGTCCCTTTCTTTAGGACCTCTTTAAAATATACAAAGTCATTGTTTTTAAATCTAAACTTCTTTATAAGAGAATTTTAAAAGAATTTACAGCACACTTATTAATGGCCAAAGCAATATTTGGTTACTGTGAAGTTGCTTTAGGTGACATGTTGTACTGAATCTACAGTATGCAATAAAGTTATCTGTTTTAAAGTTTGTCCCATCTAAAAGATTCTCATTAAATTGTAACATCTCACATTTTTTAATCTTTTTTTCACCATAGAAAAAAAAGTGGAAAAGGTTTATACCAGCGCTCGTAAACAAATGCTCATCTCATCTTTACCTCCTGTTGTCACTCTTCATCTCAAACGGTTTCATCAGGTAAGCATTCAAATATGATAAAAAAAAAGAAAAGAGCAAATATTTCCCAAATGCACTTAGAGGATGAAAGTATGGCCTCATGAACATCAAAAGAGAACATACTAATTCTTCGCATGGTGATAGTTTAGGTGTGAGGTATACTGGAACTCTTTATGAGCTCCAAAAGTAAAACTATGGAAAATGAGAGTTACTATCACATAAAACCACTCCCTGTACATGTACATATACTGTGACCCTTAGCTTAGAAACCTACAAGTACTTTTAAATGTACAAAGATGACAAAGAGGCCCATTTTTCATTGTCGTTTTTATTTAGTTGTTTAAATGACTTTCTTTTCACGTTCTTGTTTGTGATTTAGGCTGGTATGAGTCTGCGCAAAGTGAATCGTCATGTGGACTTTCCCTTGGTCCTGGATTTAGCTCCGTTCTGTTCAGCTTCTTGCAAGGTATGGATTTTAGATTTTAGATTTGAGTAGATTTCTTTCCAGCACTGCGAGCATGTTTGAGATGTGCTTCGCCCTGTGATGGTTTGTGCTTGTGTCCCTGCAGAACATTGTGCAGGGGGAGAGAGTGCTGTACGGCCTGTATGGAATCGTAGAGCACAGCGGCTCAATGCGGGGGGGTCATTACTCCGCTTACGTGAAGATCAGAGGGCCCCATAGGAAACTGGAGCAGAGGAGGAATGTTGCAGGTAAGGACTTCATTCTGGGGAAAAAAAGACATTCTTCTTTTTGTTATTTTGTACGGCTCACAAAAGTAACTTCTAAACATCTGCAAATTTTGGTTGTTTTGCTCTTTTTGAAGAACTGCCCTGTGCCAAATGACATACTCGTCCCTCAGGTCTTGTTGAATATTACTTTGTTGTAATTGAATGAAATATTGAAATGTTGGATCTGCATGCCTTCACACCAGCAGTGCTAGCTTTCACCTTAAAATTACCTCAAGATTATTTTTACATTTTATATTATTGTGTAAACATGGAATGTATCATTGTACATGCAAAACGTAAAGGTATCTCTTTTTACAATGTTCACATAAGTTTAGCCATGAAAATAATACAAAAAGTACAGGTTTTCTGTTTTTCCCCATATTGTCTCATTGTTTTGATTAACTTTTTAAATTAATTTTAAGTTTGACTTTTCTTAAATGTATGTGTTATAATGTGAATCATGTTATTTCTTCGATGTGGAATTAGGAATGGGGAGGTTTCTAGAAGGAGTTTATGATGATGAAAACTGGAAGGGCAGGAATTCTATGTCTCCTGAAATCTGCAGATCTTTCCACCAAATGCCAGGAATGGATAATCAGTGTTTACCTGTGTAACAAAAATCTGTAGTTCAGCCGAGCCCATTTTGGGGAGTAGTTTTCCATTTCTCATTTGTCTTTGCCGTTTTCTCTTCCTCCAGTACAGAGCAGCAAGCATCACTGGTCAAATAAAATAAGTGGCTGTATTTAAGCCCACTGAATTTGAAGTAGTGCCCATCTCCCAGTTCGGGTTTAAGACACATTTTTTGACCCTTGGGCATCGACTCAGATATAATATGTTGTTTTTGGTGAAGAGTTTCAGCTTTTTTAATCAATATCAAAGCAGCCAGATCTCTCAATGCTAGGTCATATTTGTTTGTGTTAACCAAGCAGGAAAGTGGTTGACGGTTGTCCTTTCTGTGATTCTGCAGGCCAGAAGGAAGCTGCTGCAGCACCTCCTGGACAGTGGGTTTACGTCAGTGACACACATGTACAGGTGGTTCCTGAATCAAGAGTCCTCGGTTCTCAAGCTTATTTGCTTTTCTATGAAGAAATGTAGTAATTGTTCTGGAAGGTATCAGCCTGCTTTTTGTCTTCAAGTACGTAACGCTGTTCCAGGTGCCTCATGAAAGGATAAGCGTATGAGAAAAAAGATTACATAAAAAAAAGCTTTTCTGCTTTTACTTTTTCAATTCAGCACATCAGAATTTCCCCTTGATGTCAATGACATGCATGGTAAGCTGTATATATTTTATTTTTGCTAGAATAAATGGTATCATTCTAAAACAATAAAAACTATGATCCTATCAATTGGTTTTCTATAGAAAAGAATCATTTGTTTACTGTATATGATTTGAAAGATTCTGTCAATATATAAGAAAGGTTAAGAATGTGTAACTTGATTTGTTTATATGATATAAAATGTATCAGAATAGTAAAGTTGTTTATATATAGCGCGCAAGACAAAATCTATTGTTTTCTTTTTATAGTTTTTTAAAATTATTCTAGTTACTGGGTTATTTTTCAAATTGTTATTCCAAAGATTTTGTAAAATTGAACTCCTAGCACAGTTTGGTAGGTAAGGTGTCTGGGTTAATTCTGTGCCACAAAAACATTCTTGGAAGCAAGAATGAAAACCCATATAATCAGTGTATCTCTAATAATCAAATTGTTAGATTTATTTAATGTTACATGTTCCTCTTTCATTATTGCTTTTCCCTGAATAGAAAATGTAACACTGCAAACGTACTGCTACTTTCTTTTTAATTATTACAAATATTTAAATATTTTCCTAAAAGGATCATATAAAGAAAATATTTATAGATAGCTTTTAGTAGTATAAACACTTTGTATTCTTTCCAGAGCAATACAATTGTGAAATGTTAGGTCAAATCTTAGAGGTCAATTCAAGCAGAATGAGAACCAGAGGTCATGCTGTTGTTTTAGAAAAACAAACCTGTTTAATAATAATGTTTTTTTATGGGGAAGAGCCTAATTAAGAGTATGTCATGGAGCACATTGTGGCATGCTCTTCAATGATCATTGATATCTGATTTACTTTTGTTGTACCATTTAACTGTTTTAGTGTTGTTAATTGGGTAAAGTTCTGAAGTCATATGGTTTAATTTTAAATAAAAAAGGCATGCCATACATATAGGCATTCAATTATTTCATACTTGTATCTCTTTAGATTTTTTCAACTGCATTGAAAACAAAAAACACAACAGCACTGTAAGCAAAACAAAATTGGCAAATGGGGAAACTTTGATTTGTGTTATTACTTTTATGATTTTGTTTATAGTTCCATGGTAATTTGTGGATTTTTTTAGAAGTGGGTGTGTGGATTATCATTTTGCAAGTGATTTTCATTGTTTTAATTATTTCATAAATGTAGAACAAAAAAGTGTAAGAACAATAATTCATATGGCATTTCAATATTATGTACCATGCATATTGTATTCATTCAAGAATAATCTTCCTGGAACGCATTGGTTACCAACAGTAGGGCACTTAATGTGCTCAAAGCATCATACAAGAAGCACATCGTACATCTCCAGCCACAGACTAGAGTCTGAGCACTCGTCTGGAAGAATGTGATGATTTGGAAGTAGGAGATTCAGGCTGGTGAAAGCTGAGGAGTCTGAACTGAAGTTAAAAGGGAATGAGGTGCTGACCTTAAAACTGTCCTTCTTTAATGAGCTGGTTGAATTTATAACATACTTTATTTTTGCAATTTATTGTGATTATGTTGACGTTTTTACGATAACACCAAACATATTTGGTTCCCCCTACTAATCACCCATGTCACAGATGCCAAGTACTGTATTTTATTTTCTGGCTGCTGCTTCTACGATGCACACAACTCTTGCCTATTTTTTCTACTGTCAACCTCCTAAGAAATGTCTAAAAAGGTGAAAACTAAAAGCTTTTTTTTTTTTTGTGACTATAAGTTATAGTTTACTTTTTCCTGCTCTCTTTGAATTTTCAATCACCTGTGCTGATTTCCAGGTGGCATAGTGTGACAAGTTATCAAATCACTTTTCTTTAATGTGCATGTACCATTACCTTCACTGCATTTTGGGGTTTCTTTTCTTTCACAAACAGTTGTCAAATATTAACTAATACAACCGCACATGGAGTCTTCCTTTATTAATTATTAATAACAATATTAATATTATACCAACAGGTGGCAAGTGTGGCACTGGCTAATTTATAGGACGGTCTGATAGTTAATTGTTCCCTTAAAGTACATTTTAAAACTGATAATTAAAACTGTGGAAACTGTTAAGTTGGATTCCTGCATCTGCAGAATACTTGCATACTGAGGGCTTTTGAGCAAAACAAATAGTGGCAGTATTTCTTTGAGGACTTAAGGTTATTCTTGTCAGAAGGCACCGTTCTGCCATCAGTGATGCACCTTTAACGACATCTGAACTTGCAATTAAAAGGTCTTCAGGAGGGTCTTTTCCTTTTAAGTCATCCTTACAGGAACATGTTTTTAAAAAGGAATGTTTGAAATGTTTAGGTAGCTTGTGCTCCATTTTCCAAGAAAACATGCAGCCAATGTTTTTAATTATAATAATATAGTTTATCAGAATATCCCTTCTTTGGAGTGACCTAAAAGAGAGCAAATAGAGGATGTGGCCGGGAAAATCCTGATGTATGGTAACCCTATCAGCCACCGACACCAGCTCTGCTGCTGAACCCGACACAGACAGCACTGCTAGTGTTTGCAAGCGTTTGGAAAACGGCTATGACCCTGATTAACTAAGTGCTCACTGCTATTTTTATTATACGTGTGTGTGCGCGTGCACGCTCATGTTGGTTATTGAGAGTTTCTGCGGTTCCTATGAGAAGGTGGCTTGTAGGTGGCACTTGGTCCAAAACATTTGAGAACCACTGGATTAATCAATTCATTATGGACCACATGTGAATCTACAGTATATACAAACAATAGAGGCCCTAATGACCTCTAGTGGCAGCTCAGCTGAAATTACTACTCTCATTCTGCTGGCCTGCCACACAGGTCTTCACTAGTGTTATTCAACATTCATGCAGTTTCCCTGAGAAGGATGCCATTCATGTCTGTATCGGAGAGTATCAGAGACAAGTTGGACATTTAGGAAATTATAACCCTTCCAAAAATCTGCCACACCCATTTAGTCTGGAAAGTTCTCTTTTTGACCTGATGTGTGTCCCTTCAGTTGTTGCTGCACTGTGAGAGAAACAGTCAAACAGCACAACAGGCAGTGGTTTGATGCACAGTACCTTAACTATGGATATCCCTGTATTTGGAAATGTCCCATTGGCCTAAGAACATAGTGCAATAAGCTTTTGAAACTGATTCGGAAAAACAGTTATCTTTGTCGTCTGAAGTGGCACTTCGTAAAGCCAATGACGGTACACCCTTCTGAAAACTGGAACTGTCCTTCTTTACAAATTCAAAAACACAAATGAAGTATTGAGTACAAATTAAACTGTGTACCAAAGCTGGTGGTCCAAACAGAGCCAAAACATGACTTCAACATTACAGGCCTTAGGCAAGAGCACTGGGCCATTATGCTCTGCTACACAGTATATACTGAGAGACATGCAACAAGTGAATATTGGAACCCATATGATTTATGTTTTGTATGCTTCTCAATATATACTGTAGCATCTAGTGCAGAACTGCAATTGAGTTGAATATTTGTTTACCGACTTAAAATTAGCATGGCAGCCAATAGCCAATAACAGGCAATTTTTGGGTGGCAAAAGAACCTAAACTTGCTGTGATAATTTGTATCTGAATTTGTCATAAAGCCTTGAATAGTATTCCCTCCTCCCCAAATATGTTTGAAGTGATTCGCTTTTATATGCATCTATACTATCCAAAGCAATAAGACTGACAAGCACAAATACTTGGCAGTACTAGTGCCACAGAGCAATGCACTTAAACATTTCTTTATTTTGAAAGATAAAGGAAAAAATAAATGAAGAGGTCTTCGGCTATTAATCCATGCTGTCTTCTTGAATCGTATGCCTTGTTCTTGCATACAATGTAGTAACACAATACAGAATGACAACTACAAAGCAGCCATGTTTTGAAACATGGCCTGTGCTGGTAATGAGGAGGTGGATACAGATTTAGAAAAGGGCAATGTCAAGATAATGTGACTGGGTGGTTAACATGCCTTCCCATTGTGTGACATCTAAATCCAACTGTTCTAACATTAAACTGTACTGTCAAACCAAACAGAAATGGACATGTATTTTTTAGAATGGGCTTTGTTGTTCATATTACAACACTTCAGCATTCAAATCATTATGTAATGCAGTTAAACATTAAACAAACATTGGTTTAAATGCACTTGTTCATTCCTTTTTATTAAGATAATAAGAAATTCTCATTTTCCATGCAATGTTGGGTATGTTGAAGAAAAACTTCTTTAGTAGGTTTATTTGAAATGTTTTGGCAACACGTATTTTATTTTTCAACGTGTAACGAAAGTAAAAAATAATTTTGCACAGTTGAAAAGGTGCATCCATCAGATTACCTTTGTGGACAGTACATAGTGAATTCAGTCTTAACACTGAATTCCTATAACTAGGATAAACGCTATTACAAAACTCAACATGACAGTAGTAGCAACAGACTGACAGAGCTGTTCCACAAGAACCATAGGGATTTCTGTTTACATCAATCATTAAAATAGACATAATTATAGTTTAAAGACTCGCTAGTAATACACTCTATAGTGTACTGTATCCAATATACAGTAGTTGTTTGTATTAAAGAAATGTGCAGCATTATGTTTAAATGAAGGTTTATCACAAAACGAATTCTGGATGTAGATGATTGCACAGTTACTGTAGCGTAGCACACTGGTTTGGTCTGAGCTATTCTTTATTAGAACGGTATGATTCAATAATAATAATACCTAAATGTTTTTTTTTTTCCAAGTAATTCTTTACTTCAAGTGCTTAAAGGAGTGTCCTGCACTGACAGGCTAAAAGAATTGAACCATTTTAAACTTTGAAGTATTCCAAATCCTTGAATGCATTGACCAAGGGAGACCAGAATCAGCAGTGAATCATAACCTATAACCAAAGGTAGGGCGGGTAAAAATACAATATTCGGACACAAAAAGGGGGGGATAATATTCTGTTCAGACCTTGGAACAAAAAAAAGTAATTATTGATTCAAATATTGGAATCGCTGTCACAAGATACACGCGCGGTACATCTGCGACACGTCCTTTGCAGCAGGTGGCAGATGCTGCGTCATGGAATCCCGATTCCTCTCCAAGAGGCTGGACAAGAAAGTGCCTGTCCACTACTGTCTGGGCCTGGGATGCCACATGTCATGCCAGCTCAGGTCACAAGTGTGCAGTGAGGCTCAAGTAGGGCACTCGCAGCATAACCATCCCATTCTCACCTCAGATGAAAGCCGCTGCCCTGCTGCAATCGCAGGTGAAGCCACATGAGAATGAGCACACGGGAAGGGAAGCCAGTGGGGTCCCGATCAGAGCGCTGTCCAGGCTCTGTGGGAGGAATGGGACACGGTCCCAGAAGACAGCACCACAGCTCGCACATCTGTGACTTTCACAGAAGAGCCCTGTTCTTCACAAATGGTAATAGAAAAATGAATTCACCGACGCTGTGTCTACTCAATAGAATTCCAGTAGTCCTGCTAGAAAATACTGGAATTGTCATGTATGCAACAACTTTATTAATGTGTTACCTATGTAAATGGTAAATTTATTTTATTGTTCTGTAGGTTATATATTACTGTATAAAAACGTTTGCACTATAATCGTATAAATGTTTCATTTTTCCGTTTATTGTAGGAAATAAAGATTTTACTATGACAATTACATAATGTGATTTTTGGGTAAATGAACCTACACTAACCTGGAAATATATCTGCATATACAAAGCTACGGTTAGAAACTAAGAAGTAATTCGCATTACAGAAATCTTTCACCTTGGATTTGGGCCCTTCAACACCGAATTTTTCTATCGTGTTGTTTGAATGACCAACCGCACCAGTTTTATCATGACATCTACACAATACAATACAGTAGCGCGCGGGGTGCGCGACTCGACTTCCCCTGGACTACTTCCGGGTTGAAAGTCAGAGCGCCATATTGTCTATGAGGCAGTGAAGAAGCTGTTGAGGAGAGGTGAGGAGAAAGAAAGTGGGTTTGTTTTATCATGTTTTGATGGCTGTATTTTTTTACGATCTAAAACAGTGTGAGACCATGAATATTCTCATAGTCAATTGCACGAGAAGACGAGCGTCTTTAGTTCAAAATATGTTCAAATGAAACCGCCTGTTTTTTTCTTTGAGGGCTGGCGAGGCCCAGGGGGTGTAGCTCGAATATACCCGCATAGAGAGCAGCCTCTGGGTTTCAGGCTTGATAATGCAGCAGCAACTGCACAAGAAGGAATCGGATACTTGCTGCATAATCGCAATTCCTAGTTTTGTTAGTCGACGTGAATACATTGTATTATTTTAAGTTGATTTGTGAAGCATTTGTGCTGCGATTCGTTTTTTAAATTGAAGACGTCGATATTTAGACGATGAGCTGTTAATACGATTGCAGTACTGATTGTACTATGCATGTCTATTTTTAAATATTTGCAGAATTTAATCGATACGTATTCAGTAGTTTCTTTATCGGTTTTATAGAGAAGAAATCTAGGAAATGTACTCTACATACCGTTAAATGGCCTTCGCTGTTAATACAGCAACATCTATACTAACAACAAGTTAGTACGCAACGTTATATTGTAACTGAAGTCTGAGGGCTCGATTTCTTTTTTTAACTTACAACTGTTTGTAGTATTCCGCAGTCGGACTCGTTGACCTAATGTTGATTGTACTGACATAATAAATCCGCTTGAGATTAAAAGCCTAAATTGCATTTTGTTAAAGGCAACAAGGCAGCACGTAAAGTCTAGCTCATTTTTTGCTCTCTTTACAGTTTCACCTGTTAAAATGAGTGTAGGAAAATGTGTGCATTCTTATTAACAAAAGAAAAGTTACAAGGTAGAGAAAGCCATTCACCCATTCTAGTCCGTTGTTTTGCCTATTTTCACGACTTATTGTTGCTTAGTAGACAAAACACTAAGAATAACCCCTTTTTCTTTCTGAAACTACACTGGTCCTGTAGTCCATTGCTATTGTTTACAAATCATGATTTGGAAAACTAAAAACTTTGTGTAGTTAATGGTGAAGCGTGATACCTGTGCTGTCTAGGAGCTATAGAAACATACTGGTTTGCCAACGGCTGTTTTCCGCCTTTGCAGGATCCAGGCTGAACTTTACGGTTAAACATGTGGGATCAAGGTGGTCAGCCCTGGCCACACTGGCCTCTCAGCCAGCAGCAGTGGATGCAGTCTTTCCAGCACCAGCAGGACCCAAGTAAGAGAGACGACCCGTGTTTCTCCGACGCGTCATCCTCTGCCCTCGTCTTGCATGAGTGATTAACACACAGGCCTGTAGGAGAAATGTACCGCCGAAGAGTTCTGTAATTGTGTTTCTTTACAGTTTTGGAGCATTGCTGCCGAGTTCATTCATATTTATTGTGAAAGAAGAAGTTGAGGTTTATTAACTCCGAAAAGCAAAAAATGCTTTTAGCTGGAGAGCCTTCTTCGGCTGTTAGGGAGGAAGGGAAGGGAGTAGGATTGAGAAACAGGGGGGGTGTCGAACTGAAGGAAGAGCATGTGGGAATGGGCATGGTGGGTGAGAAAGCCCTGTGCCTCACACTTGAAGTCTTTGCGGTTTCTTTTTCTGGATTGTTTTTTAAACTTGGGTGATTCCTCTGGAAATGTTCACCTAGTAATTCCCCAGTCTGAATGTCCCTGAGCTTCTGCAGTACTTGATGTCTTGATTTCCTCTTCCTCATCAGGCCAGGTGGACTGGGCAGCTCTGGCACAAGCCTGGATTGCTCAGAGAGAAGCTACTGGACAAACGGTACTGGATCAGCAAGGACTGCAACCCAATGGCCAGGAAATCCAAGGATTAGAGACTGGTCCCAACAATCATGGGACGTTTCAGGGTGATCCAAATTTTAACAGAATGTGGCAGCCAGGTTGGCTTCTCTTCTTTACCTCTTCAACACCCACTGAAAACCAAATTAGTGCAGAAAGAAAATCAGAACTGGGACAGTATGTATAAGTTATTTGATGTGAGCAGAGTATATATAATCTGTTGTACTGTAGATTTGGAAAATATACATATATATATAAATGTGTTATATATTTGCATCAGAGAATGTGTCTTCAAACTATACACTTTTTTCATTTTAGAGACTCAGCCAGTGTGACTTTATTATTTAAAGCCTTTGTTTTTCTAAGTGGGGGATATGTGTTAAGTGCTCTGCAGACTGATAGCTGTGGTTTCTGTATTCAAATCTTTAGACTGGGGAATGCATGGCCAGCCTCCTCACCCACCCCCTGACCAGCAGTGGATACCTCCAGGCCCCGGGCCAATGGATGTACCTCCATCTGAAGACAGTAACAGCCAGGACAGCATCGAATTCCCTCCAGACTCCAGACGTGGAATGTTCAACCAAAATAATCACACGTTTGGAGGGCAACCTGACAGCTTTCCCATGGCCCCGATGCCAGTGAACCAGTTCGATTACCAGGTATATAGAGAGGAAGACCTTGCTTGAACCATAATGTAGAGAGAAAGCAAGCGAGGTATTTGTCGTATATACCGTATTAATGGATACTTCACACCTAGCTTTTGCACCCCTCACAGCCGTTTCCCACGTTTGTGTAGAAATGGTTGAACCTAGTTAGTAGCGCGTGAGCGTTCCAATCCAGAGGCAATTTCCCGTCTGTAATAAAGAAAAGGCAGTGGGCTTGATGATGTGTTTGGTGTTCATTGTTGGTTGCTGCTGTCTCCAGCATGGTGCTGCTGCTTTTGGCCCTCCGTCGACGGGATTCCCTCCCCCGTACTGGCAGCAGGGCCCCCCGCAGAACCGCAGAGACAGACCCCCTTCGTTTAGGGAGCGCCCCAGATCTCCTGTACAGCTGCCAGTAAAACAGGAACCCCCAGCTCTTGGTAAGTGCTTTGTAACCTCGAGGTGGTCATGGTTTGGAGTGAAAAGTACACTTCTTCTTTACAGTTCTCTAAAATAATTGCCCTGAAATTCATTCTGTTGCATATCATAAACCTGATGCATGTTTCTATGTATACAGACATACAGTTTTTTTAATGTATTGTTATCTGGAGTTTAACTATTATTCTCAATTCATTTTCTCAAAAATATGAAACTACAATAACATGTAACCTGGCCAGATTTTTCTGCCAGGGTGGAAACGTACAGTATCTTTTTAAAATTAGTACTTTATTAAATAACCTTGTGGGCATCCAACCTTTTAAAGGAAATATTGTTTTCCAGTGATGCCAACTTTTTGAAATTCAGCCCAGAGTGTTGATAATTTGCTGAGCCTTGGGATACACACTCTTATTTGACATGCATTCATTAAAAAAAGTGATTAATTCAGAGAAGGATCCAATGCAATTTCTTCTGAACTATTCCGCGTTTGTTGTCAAAATTCAATCTGCTTTCCTTATAATGCAAGGACCAATGTTTTTAATCAGTTGTTTCAGTTTCTTTCGAATGAGAGACAAAAACCCTTGTAGAAGAAGGTTCCTTTTCAAGTGATGCTGTATAGCTAATTGTGATGGTTTCAGTTTGAGGGATATCGTTTTCCTGTTAAAAAACGAGTACAGAATAGTTAACCCTGATCGTGTTTTCCTTCAGTGGCTCCGTGTTTTAATTGTGTGCTATTTTACCTGTTGAATGCGCATCACAACCATTTGATAGCAGGTTGTTTTGGATATGTACCGTCGAGGCTACAGATCATCAAACTCTTTTCCCCAGATGCGGTGAAACGGCGGACATTACCTGCTTGGATCCGTGAGGGGCTGGAGAAGATGGAGCGAGAGAAACAGAAAAAACTTGAAAAGGAGAGGATGGAGAAGCAACGTGCTGAAATGGCGAAAGATGAAAAGAAATCTAATGATTTACCGGAGGAAGAAGGCGATGGGCCTCGATTACCCTGCAAAAGTAAATTTGTAAGTAGCAGATTGTGTCTTGAATATTGGGGCAGCAGTGTAGAGTAGTGCTTAGGGTTCTGGATTTGTCCCGTGAAGGTTGTGGGTTCAGTTCCCAGGGGAGACACTCCTGTTGGACACATGAGGTGCTTAACAGGAATTACTCCAGTAAAATGCACAGCTGTAAAATGAAAACACAGCTAAATGTGTTAATATGGTTTGTAGGTTGTCGTGTTCCACGGAGGATTCAGATCATTTGTAATTTAGGAATGGCAAAATATCGCAAGCAACATTTTCCCTGAATCCACTTGCAGCTTGTACCGGTCTTCGTCATATTGATTTCCTCTAAGCTTTTTCAAAAATGTCATTTTCTGGGTCATTAGGACAGCGATGATGAGGAAGAGGAGGAGGAGGAGGAGGAAGAAGATGAAAGGACTGAAGCTAGAAAGTCAGACGTGGGAAGCACGTCTCCATCTCCAGTTCGTGAAGAGCAGATTGAACCAGACTTGACTGATGAAGAGAGAGAATTTCAGCTGGTTGGTACCTCAAGTTAATAACTGAATATGGAAACTTTACCCTTCAAATGATATATACTCACTGCGCTGTTTTAATATTTCACTGTCTCAACTGTTTACTACTTAAACTGCAAATAGCATTCGCTTGTCTTATCTCAACAGATGATGTTGACCAAAATGCTCCTCACAGAAGTGCTTTTAGAGGTCACCAATGAAGAGATCTATAATGTAGCAAAGGATGTCCATCGCAAGGCAACAAAAGGTATAAGTCTGACTCAGATTTGTGTAGGAGTTGATGATCAAGACATTTGCTTGAAAGGACTTAAATTCCTAATGGTTTCCTTTCTTGAGAAATTTTAGTGTCCTGCAGTAATTGTGTTAAGTCTTTAAAATTTAGTGTCTTTGGTGTCAGTTTTTTTCACTAAATTAACTCAGTACTGTGCAAAGATTATTGAAGTACAGTTCATCCCTAGCCAGTCTCTGCTAATGCAGTGGACAATTGTAGAAAATAAGAATACATAATATCTTAATGCAGTAGGTATTATTATGAATATGGCTGTCATCTTTAATTCAGTAACATTAACATTCTTCCAGATCCTTAACAGGGCATCAAATTTACCGTCAACCCGACTGCTTCTAAAGAACAGGTGGACGAGTGCCAGTTTAACTTTTAAAATTCAGCTCCTGTGAATTCTCGGAATCTGCATTAGTAAAGAGTGGTATTTCCCTGCCCAAAGTTGTTTTTTTTAACAAACTCATTGAAAGTACTCCTCTCCTCTCTTTAATTCATTTTGTTCTTAATTTTTCTTCTCTCCTCTGCAAAGCAGCGTTGATAGTGCATTGTAACTGTGCCCTAGACTCTCGTGACTTTGAAATCGTGGCTGTATGTTTTAACATGTTGTTCCTGTTGTTGATGTGATACAAAGCTCCTGCAAAGCAGCTGGCACAGTCCAGTGCACTGGCTTCTCTATCAGGACTCGGTAAGTAATTGTAGTTTAAAATGGGGAGGGTGGAGGGGGGGGTGGAGGGAGGTTGTAAGGTGTTTCCCTTCCTACAGGACTTTAACACTGTGCTGAATATCCGTTTAATCACAAACAAAAACTTGCCCTGTATTGAGAAATCATGAGACTTCTGTGATTCCATACAGCATTGTTTTCTTAAAGTGATTGAGAAAATGTGCAGCTCTCTGTCAGATAAAGGCCATTACAACCTAACATAGCAGCAGCCTGTAATTTTTTGGATTTCTTTGGTTCTCAGGTTGGAAATCGCATGCAGTTTTTGATTTCATGACCTTAGTACATTAAGTATATCCATATATCTTAGTATACTTTCAGAGAGATGGGTGTAAGTAAGAAACAGTTACATCTGTTTCCCGGGGTGTGTCAGATAACTGCTTTGGCTGACTGAGTGCAGTTTGCAAACGGTGTGAAAAGCCTGTGTTTTATCTCTTATGAAAGAGCCTGGGTTTGTGCATGCAGGTGGGCTGGGTGAGTACGGTTCAGATGACAGTGAAGAGGAGAAAAGTGTGAGAGGCTCAGAATCCTCCGACACGGATGACGAGGAGCTGCGACACAGAATTCGGCAAAAGCAGGACGCCTTCCGCAGGAAAGAGAAGGAGATGCAACTGCTGCAGGAGAGGCAGCTACAGGAAGGTGCGCTTGATCGAGTGTTCATGCTTGAGCAGAAGCAAAGCGTTTTTTTACTGCTTTTATTGCAGAAGCAAAACTGCTACCATTGAACATTGGTTCAGAAAAACCCGGTAAAGTTAAAAACATTACTGCTGTCCGAGGAAGAGGTGGCAGATCCATCAAATGAGGTTGACCCTTTAATATTCACAAGACAATGTCTAGACTTGTCTGAGGTTTGCTCCCCACTTCTTTATATATTCAAACCATTTTGCAATTGAGGTATATTGAAACTAGAGTAGATTATATACTTGTTTAAGTAATTGTAAAATGTTTTGAATACACAAACGTTTCCTCTCCACATGCTTTGCTCATTTGAGCTTTAAATTAAGCTGCCCTGTAATAGAACCCTCCTCACTGCTTATTAATGATGTTTAATAGAATTATCTTGAAACCTAGAGAATAGAGTACTCTTGAGAGATATTTAGGACAACAAAAGTAAATGTCTTTTTACTATAAACTCATAATTATTTCTTTCGGCCGTTTTGGGTGAATTACATTGATGTTGAACAACTCTGTATTCACGGAGCCAAGGTGCTGGGCCATTTGGTTGACAGGTGTCTCATGTTGGTCAGGTGTTTGAAGCTAACTGAAACAGTCAGGACTATAGCACAGAAACTGGGCTTATCAAAAACAGTCATTTGGAATATGCTGATTAATAATGAAGCCTCTGATCTGCCAAGACCAGACCAGTCAAGAAAAACACCAGTAGCTGATAATGGAGATATGATCACGGTTTTCAAGGAAAAAACTATCGGTGAAATCACCAAAATCTTCAGAGTGCAGGGATGAAAGTACCACAATCCACAGTTAACGGAAGACTGAGACAGCAGAATTACTAAATTGGTAGCGTAGACTTTTGGACACTGAGAAGACAAGCTTTCGACCTGCAGGGATATTCATGGATAATTGCTTTAATGCTTCAAACGGTAAACTCTTATACAGGAGATATGCTTTTCACAGCAGGGAACTGGCCGCCTAGAACTTCATCCTCTTCAGTTGATCCTGTGCCATGTTTAAACTCCTTTGCCCAATGCATCGCAGGAATGAGGGTCAGCTTTTCCTCATCCAGAAAATGTCCTTTTACTTCACAGTGCAGATGAAGTCCTTTTCGCACTATTTACTTAATACCTCAGATTGTTCAGTAACCCCGGAAAAAAACGTGTTTGTAACCTACAGACTGTGATCTAATCATGAAATTCTAACTATACATGTAGCACATCCACAGTAATGTGTATGAGCTGCCAAGGGATCACAGTCTACATGTGAGTTGCAAAAATTTTCAATTGGCCTTGTGTGCACGGTTTATTTTCTGTTTTTTTAAATCAGAATTTGTGTACTATTTGAGTTTTTTGCATACTTCTTAAATGACACTAGAGTTTGTCCTTTCCTGGTTTGGCTCTTTGGAGATTTGCTCATATCTTTGAAGGGAATCATAAACTCCGCACTGGGTTCTTATTTTTCCCCTGACGGCGTTGTGAACTGAAAGGAATCTCTCGGTGAACGGTACTTTTGATTTGAGACATTTTGAGATCTAAAGCCCGGGACGGTAAGAGTTTCCAGCCGGTGCAGAAATCAAAGTCACCTCCCTCGTGTGTGTCTGTTTTTTCTTGCAGAAGAAAAACAAGCTGAAAGATCGAACCGAGACATGAGCGAATACGATACCGAGCAGGCTGTCAGTTCAGTGAGGCAGGAAGTCAGGGATAGAGAGGCTGAGCCTGGCGCTGAAAAGAGAAGGGTTCGGAGCGAGGCAGACCCGAGCGACCCCCGGAGGGCAGTGAAAGAGAGAGTAGGCAGGAGCAGGAGCTCCTCGGTCAGCACCAGCCGTAGCAGCAGTGGAGGCAGCAGCAGCAGTAGCAGCAGCAGCAGCAGGTCCAGCTCCTCCTCCAGCTCTAGCTCGGCTAGCAGCCGCAGCTCCTCGCGTTCCTCCTCCCCCAAGAGAAAGAGGAAGCGCAGTCGAACGCGCTCCCCCGCTCACAGGGTAAGTCAGCGCAGCCGCAGCCGGAGCAGGAGCTCCCGCAGGCAGAGGAGGGAGCCCAGCAAGGAGAAAGGGAGGGACAGGAGGAGGGACAGGAGCACAGAGAGGGGCAGGAGGAGGAACCACAGCCGCTCCAGGGAGCGGAGGAGCAGCCGCGAGAGGCGGAAGAGCAGGTCGAGGGAGAGGGAGAGGGCCAGGGCCAGCCGCAGCAGGAGCAGGGAGAGGCGGCGCAGCGGCGACAGGAGGAGAAGCCAGAGCCGGGGCCGGCACAAGCAGAAAGAGGTCAGCAAGGAGAGGGAGAAGAGGAAGGACAGGAGCCGCAGCAACGACAAAGACAAGAAGAAAAAGGAGAAGGAGGCCGAGCGCAAGAAGGACAAGCAGAAAGGCAAAGAGAGGGAAAAGAGGGAGGAGAAAGATTACAAGGCGGCAAGCCAGAGTGAGAGCAGTAGCAAATCGAGGAGGAAGAGGGAGAGCGAACAGCCAGACTCCTACGGCGAGGCCTCGGGCAGATTTTCACGGCAGGATAGCAGATCGACCAAAAAGGGCTTGGCCAAAAATAGCAAAAAGTATTCCGATTCGGAGTCTAGCGGCAGGAGCAGTTCTCGGTCCCCAGAGGTTAGCAAGGAAAAGAAGTCTAAGAAATCCAAACGTAGTCGTTCAAGGTCAACGGAAAAATCGCACAAGTCTGGTAAGAAGGCAAGCCGCAAACACAAGTCTAAGTCACGATCAAGGTAGTATTCAATTTTTTATCTATTTATTTTTAATTGTTTTTTGTAATTGTCGAGGTTTTGTTCTTTAGCCTTGAATGTTTTAGCAGTTTTAACAAGTTAACTTTCCGGTGAAAAATAATTGCTCTTCTTTTTCCTTAAAATCCCATATTTAGTCCCCGTTCCTTTCTAGGAGTTGCTGATAAGTGTTCCATTGTGCTCCTTGCAGGGAGATTTTGGGTTAAAGCATTGCCATCTTCTTTCAGATTTGTGGTTGGACATTATACTGTGATGTATTAGCAGTTGAAGAGTTACCAGGGATCTGTATATCTCAGTGTACTACCTTTTCATTGAGGCCAAAGCCTTATGGCATTCAAATATAGTAACAGCCTTGCCAGTAGCGTTTTAGGTGCCTGAAAGCAAAAAAAAATGTACTGAAAATGTTTTATTATTCTGTTGTTAAACGAAGTAATGTAGGAGAACGTACAGTGCAACTGATGTTCCTCTTGATTTCTTTTGCAGGTCGGTCACACCAGTACGTCGCAAACGTTGAGGAATGATAATGGCACCTGAAGCGTGCACTTATTTTAAAATTCCATGAGTTTTAAAGGCTTGTCTCATTATAGAGGCAACTGTGTAGGTGATCTTTCTTTTTCCTGTAAATAAGTACATTTTTTAAAGTACTGTCTGCAGTCCAAGATTTTGAATGATAGGTTTCCCCTGTATCCATTAATTTGCGGTCAGTAGTTGCTCAGATCCTACAGTTGTAACTTTTTAAAAAAAAACATCGTCATGTAAATTGCTGTCCAATAAAACAAAAATCAGTAGTGCTTGGTGTGGATTCTTTTAAACCTCCCTTTGTTCTGTATTTTACACTTTTGAGATGCCTGAATATTTCAACAACATCGTTCAATTTCACAAAGCTAAATTGCTTTAGAAACATGATCAATAAGGACGTTCTTCTGCAGTGTTCACACTGTATATGCAGTTGCCTATACACGTATGCTGTTAAACTGTGCAAAAGCATAATCATGAATAGAGGTTTTTAAATGTGTACTTCATCTGTTTACATAAAATGTTTAATTTGATGATGAAAGGTTTTTGTAACTGATCATTTTTACGTCAAAATAATTCATATCTAATAAAGTTCACCAGTCCTATTAGCTCTGTAATTGATGTCTGTGTGTGCGCGTAGGTCTTGTAGAAAATGAGGTTGGTTAGCTCTCCCATGTTCTCCAGGGTTCAGCTGGGTTCTGTAAGAGATTAGAAGTCCTTGATGTGGCTCGCCTGCTAAAGGCCTGTGCCATGGTGCAAGCTGAGCTCTGATGCAGGTGGTGCTAGCCAACTCGGACTGGGATTCCCCGAACAGTGACTCATTGACTGTGCTCCACTAAGGGTATGGTGGGATCAGTCGGCCAGGCAGTGGCTGAAGCACCTGTGGCTTTCTAGGTGCTTCTAGGCTCATGGTGCTGTCAATGAGCCATGAGCCTTTTCTCCAATGGACACAGCTATGTATTACCAGATGTTTTAAAGGATGAATGGCTCAATGGTGAGTGGGTGGGTCAGAGGAGTCTGTCTGCATTTCTTCATTCCACTTTGTATGTGTGGTTGCAGGGTTTGAAGTCATCAGCCAAGACATGAAAAACATTCAATTGCAGTACCGTGTTCGTTAAGGTGCAGTGTTCCCTATAACACAGGAATTGCAGACAGCATGGTCTTTTTAAACTTTCTACACATAATGTCCCACCTGCAAAGGATTTGGGAATTTGGGGAACAGAATTGATAACTACTATTTGTGTCACTATACAGTATGCGGAATGGAATCTGAATAACTATACTCCCACTTGACATGACAGACTCCTGGTAAAGGAGCTGTTGTTCATGTGACAACATAGAAATGGGTGATACACTCAATGAATATTTCATTCAGGTATTTACTAAAGAAATCAACCACATTCCTCAGGCAGTGAAGACAGATTTTTATTCAACTGTATTGGCATGGCAAGTCTTTTTATGCCAATGGCAAGAAAACAGGTAGAAGTCTTTCATGCAGTTGAAGCACTTTAGATTAATAAATCCCCAGATTCCTGTGGTATTTTAGGAATTGTCTCCAAATGAAAAATGTTGTTCAGAAGCCATTGATGTAAATCCCAGCTGTCACTCAAGATGCATGGGGTGGAGAATTATGGAAAAAAGGAGGAATGGAAAAAACTGAACCGAATGCAGTCAGTTCTTGAGATGTGTGTGCTGGGTTTATGAATTAATGGACGGAAAATAATGTGTACCTCAGGATTCTGTATTAAGACCACTACTTTTCTCAGAATTTCAAATCCAAACAGCTTTCTAAACATGCCTTTCTCTCTCACAACTCTATATCAATGATCAAGATTATTGTATATCTAGTAAGCTAGGTAAACTTGCAGATGTAACCAAACTAGAAGAACTCACAAACATAAAAGGTCTAAAAGCAATTTAAAAGAGAATTGGAACAAATTCAAGACTGGATAAATACCTGGCAGATGGCTTATAATGTAGATAAATGCTGGGTGTTCCATGCAGGTAGCAAAAAACATTATAATGGGAATCACTGAGTTTAAGGACACTAATTTAGAGAAAGACTTCGTAGGTGTATCTATAGACATATACATCGTAGTAAAGTAGAAAAGAAAAAATGTGAGGATAAATTGTTAAAAACAATTACAATCAGGAGATGTTGTGTTAAAATTGTACATTGCACGGTAAAAACATAATATTGTGTACAATCTGGTCACTAACACAATAATCTGTTGTATTGTTCATTGTTGTACTGGAATTAGTTCAGACAATCGCAACCAGATGATTACAAATAATGTTTTTATATTAACAAGCTGAAATACTAAAGATTACAGGGGGATTTCATACAATTATACATTCATATTAAGCCAGCATCCATATCACCTCACAACTCACAACTAGTAGCCTACTGAAGCTAAGCAAATATGAGTCTGGTCAGTACTGGGATGGGAGACCTCCTGGTAAAAACTAAGGTTGCTGCTGGAAGAGGTGTTAGTGGGGCCAGCAGGGCTCACCCTGGGGTCTTCGTGGGTCCTAATGTCCCAATGTAGTTATGGGGACACTAATCTTTGAAAAGGTGCCGTCCTTCGGATGAGACGTAAAACCTCATTAAAAATCTCAGGGCTGTCACATTGGCTTTACCAATCATGGCCTCCTGATAATTGGTTTCATTACTCCTCCTCCCCACTGAGAGCTGATGTGTGGTGAGCGTTCTGGCGCACTATGGCTGCCGTCGCATCATCCAGGTGGGGCTGCACATTGGTGGTGATGGAGGGGAGTCCCCATTACCTGTAAAGCGCTTTGAATGGAGTGTTATTATCATTATTATTATACTCTTCAAAAGCACTGACAGAAGTAGAAACTGTGTGGAAATGCATTTAACACAGAGAATAGGAGATTTATGACAGCAGGGAACAAGCTGCCCCGTTATGTGGATAACGTTTACACACCGGCTATAAAAACGGCTGGATGAAATCCTGCGACCAATTAGCTACTGAAAAATGAAAATCTATCGCTGCTCATGGGAGACAATACAACATAACCCATAGGAAAAATACACCTTGAGGATCTTAGACACTCTTGAAAATCAACTGAGAAATACGTATGCATTGATACTCGTCTGCTGACATAATCTCCAAACTGCAACCTTTTACTTAAAAGACTGGCAAAAAAACTCACTACTTCACTTCTAATCGGCACTTCCATCCAATATGAACCAGTTATTTTGTACTGGTTTTGAAAGGATTTTTAACGAGAAAATACATATATATTTAATAAAAGTGTTAGTTCGCAGTATTCTAAACAATAATCACAGGTTACTACATTATTTTTAAACGGGTATTTAATAAACTATTTAGGAGTTTTAACCTCCACAAGCTGATTTTGTTAGCTTGCAACGAATGTACGAAGTTAAACTTTGTTGCTAAAATACGTTTTTTACCCTTTTTGTCCCCAAGACCCTTTTTATATGATTTACATTCAAGATTGGAAAGAACTTAGAAAAATATAAACTAGAACTACTGCCAACGATGTGAACGGCATAACGATATTTGCCATCAACTGTGCCGTTGTTCACAGGTAGGAACTAATGTGATCAGTTGTACAGTTTCCACACGGTATCTAAACAAAGTGGTCAACGTAGGTCACATTAACTTTTTTGAGCTAATGTGACTAAAAGGCTCTTCATATTTTATTTTTAAAAATGTCAAAAAATATTGTACCTGTAATTTTCAGACTGGGCTTTGAAACAAAATCAGAGTATCGGTGTCTCCTAAGCCGTTTAGCCTTGACGCCTGCAGTTGTGTCTGCTCGGGCGCTGTTCTTTTTGAGTGCTGGGAATGAAAACCAGATAAATTATACAAAACGTCAAGCGTCAGGTGCTCCTGTGTTCACTCCTGTCTCCTGGAGAATGAGGTAAGCGCACAGTTACAAGATCCTGAGCTAGTGATCTGAACTGTTACAATATTTATAGCCCGTACACAGTGTCTTCATTATTAAACGACAAGCCTGTGTACTACACAGTAAGCAAAACACTGTGCCACGTATTTACTCGTGATCCTTAAGCACATACTGTATATATTTCGTTTTTCCTGTCGTAGGATCTTAAAAGAATGTTATCTTTTTATTCTGTATAGATTTAAAAGTCTGCAGATCTTTTTACAAGTTAAATATTTCCCAAATTATTTCATACTGAATTAGGACAACCGTTTTTTATAATATAAAATACACTATTCCTTGCAAGTTAAAAGTAAAAGATAATGTGGTTAGCATTACTTGCTTGTAGCGCTGGGGCCCCAGGTTCAACTAGCCAGCAGCCATATCACCCTGCAACTTACAACTGGCAACCCACTGAAGCTAAGCAGGTGTGAGCAACAATATATTTTATACTGTGACTGAAATTATATACAATATAATCCTTGGGCTTTGAATAATATTCTATTATTTAAATTTTACACTTTTAACTATCCGTTTTTTACTGTTTCCCCAACATTGTCTAGAAGATGTAACAGAAGCATCAACATATAGACAAAAGTCTTTTTCACATCTTAGATACTGTATTTATATATACTATATATATACACACAGTACAATAAATGCATATACTGTATATGTATATACAATAGTAGTATGGACAGCAGCCATATCACCCTGCAACTCACAACTGGCAGCTCAGCAGATGTGAGCCTGGCAAATACCTGGATGGGAGACCTCCTGGGAAAAACTATGGTTGCTGCTGGAAGAGGTGTTAGTGGGGCCAGCTCACCCTGCGGTCCATGTGGGTCCTAATGCCCCAGTATAGTGATGGGGACACTAAACTTTGAAAAGGTGCCGTCCTTCGGATGAGACGTAAAACCGAGATCCTGACTCTATGTGGTCATTAAAAAAACCCCAGGGCGTTTCTCGAAAAGAGTAGGGGTGTAACCCCGGCGTCCTGGCCAAATTTCCCATTGGCCCTTACCAATCATGGCCTCCTAATAATCCCCATCTATGAACTGGCTTCATTACTCTGCTCTCCTCCCCACTGATAGCTGATGTGTGGTGAGCGTTCTGGTGCACTATGGCTGCCGTCGCATCATCCAGGTGGATGCTGCACATTGGTGGTGGTGGAGGGGAGTCCCCATTACCTGTAAAGCGCTTTGAGTGGAGTGTCCAGAAAAGCGCTATATAAGTGTAAGCAATTATTAATTATTATTATTATTAATTACAAATCTGGGGTTCTGTTTGTGTGGAGTTTGTATGTTCTCTCCATGTTCATGAGTTTTTTTTTCTGGACGCTCCAGTTTCCTCCCACAGTCCAAAAAACATACTGCGAGGTTAATTTGTTTCTGGGTGAATTAACCCTGGTGTTGAGTGTGTGCGTGTCTATGTTTGTGTGTGTCGGACTTGTGTGTGCGATGGACTTTCATCTCAACCAGGGTGTACACTGCTGTGCGCTGGTTGCTTGTCGAGCTACTGTAGGTTCCTCTTCTCCCACGACCCTGAATTGGATGAAGCAGCTGGAAAATGGATGGATAGATTGATGTTAGTGTTAGACAGATATTGGCCCCCTGATGTCTTTTCTGTTATTCCAGGCCTTCAATCACGAGAATGAGCTCAGCAACACAGACGACACTGGACCCAGACGAAATGAAGAGATTCCAGTCCCTTGCCAGCAAATGGTGGAATGAACAGGGGGAGTTTGCAGCACTTCATGCTATGAATGACCTGAGAGTCCCCTTTATAAGGTAATACTAACAGCTGATTTTTTATTGTCACTATGAGGAATGTGTCAGATGTAATGCTCTTACACAGAATCAATTCCAGTGAACTTGCGGATTTAGTACAGAGTTGTATGGTACTATCTCAGGATCATCTGCATCACTTGTAACAAAAACAATCGTGTACCAAGAGTGGCAGACCAGCTGATCCCATTGTCAGTTGGTGCTAAGGGATTAACCCTGTAGTTTTTGTCTAATTCTTTATTTTGTTATGATGGCTATACCATAATGTACACAAGGGCACTGTTTACGTGCTGGTCTCAAAGTCACTGATGTCATTACATCCCTACACACATCATACAGAACTGTGATCTAACAGGCATAGAACAGCAAGATCCCACGTTGAGAGAGCCTTTGGAAATGTTAAAGCAGAGTTTTGTCTCTCATTTGGTTTGTGTACCAGTCCGGTAAAAGTTAGCTGCATCATTGTGCTTTTTGCAAGCCTCCACAACCCTGCTATGGACCGGTATAAACTACCTGTTCCATCTCCAAGACATTAAGCACACTGGCTGTTTCCACACCATTATTATTGGAGTGGTTTCCACACCATTATTATCATTTCCTGATAATAATGCCACAGGAAAACGAAGGGGTAGTGTTGTGAAGAACTTAAATAATTAAAGTGTGAAAAACAAATATTAGCAGTGTTTTCTTTAATATAACCTTACATTTAACACCATAAAATAAGAAACTTTGCCTACTGTACCCCTCTTTCTCAATATACCTTCCAAGAACCATCAGTATGGACTCTATACATAATAAATGATAGTAGAAAATAGACCCAAGTGACACCCTGATTTGACTGAACGCACATAAGAATCGAAGCCTGTTTACTTATACTTGTATGTATTTATTTTAATTTAATTTCTCTTCCCTCCACAGAATATTTATGTCAATACATATCTCAAAACTCACAATTGCATACTACAGGCTCTATGTGCAGTAGCAAGACTGATAACACCTTCCTTCATGATTAGAACATGGGACGTACTGTACTGTAGATCCATTGTATTGTGGCTGGAATGCAATTTTATTTTAATATTACATTTCTCAGTGACAAGTGCCTAGAATCATTTTGTAGTGACATTATTATTTCAGCATAATAAGCTGGTATTGCATTGGAAACTTCCCCTTGCAGTCCCGTGTTCTGCTTAGCATGTATTGTAAAGTGCTCAGTCTATACTTAGAGTTGTACTTACTCTCAAACTTTAGCCTCGAGGGCAGCAGCTGTTACTTTGGCTTTGCTGCAATTGAGAACATTCTTAGTACAGAACTGGGGACTAATTTCAGCAGCCACGTTCGTTGCAATTGGTATCTACAGAGTGTACAAGTTGAGCACTAAGCTCTATACTAACCATAGGATCATCTGTAGTAAGTACATTGCTTTCAATTCCTCACTGTACGTGCATCTCAATGTAGTTTTCACTTGTGACCTCTGATTTGTGATTAACCTGAATACTGTGTCATTTAACTATGCTTAACTGTGATAAAGACGTCACCTGGATTGGCTTTGTGTCAATGACTTTACCAATATCAAAAAAATATTTTTGTAGAAGAGGCAAACATTTTTCAGGTACTAGAGGTACTTAAATAAGCAAATAAGCAAATCTACTGTGTCCGCTGGTATTCTAACCAAGTGTACTTAGGGAAATGTACTTTGGGAGCCATTAACAAAACTCTCTCAACAGTCAATCAGGGCAGGCTTTTAATACCCATTGACTATTCACTTGCTAATGTAGTGCCCACACTGAACCACGCAGCACAGCTGAACCAAGCAATTATAGACGTACTGGTCTATAACAAGTATGATTTTTGAGATGGTAATTAGAAGTCAACTGAAGGATCTTGTGTATGTGTATGGTAGTAGGACTCTAGTGGATAATTGACAGAATTTAGAAAAGGAAGACCTTGCATTACAAACATGTTAGAGTATGAACAGATAACAGCATGAAAGTATAAAAAAAGGCATATTATATCATATATGAAGGCTTTTGTTCCCCATAAATGATTGATTCTCAAAATTCCAGTGGCAAACATTCAAAGTACTTTGGTATGAAAACTGGCTAATGGACAGGTTACAGAGTACTGATAAATGGTAAGTGCTCACATTGGGGTGGTGTGATTCGTAGAGTACACAGGAATCAGTATGAGGACCACTGCTGCTCTTAACGTATATCAGTGATCTAGTTGCTGGTACAGTAAATACATTAGTCATGTTTTCAGATGATGGCATAATAGGAGTATTAGCAAACACTAATCAAAAGAAGTTCATAAAGGCTTGGACCAAATGAGACGAAATGCAGGATGTTGCATGTAGGTAGTAAAAACAAACTGAAATATAAAACAGAAAAAAAGCTCTTAGAGCTTACTTATACCAACGTCTTAGACTAGGTATTAATGTAGACACATAATTTTTATATTTCAATATTGCAATGTGAGGAAGCAGTAAAAATGTGAAAAAGGCAATATAGTTTTAAACAAAAGAATTTACATCAAGTAATGTCATGATAAAATTGTACAGTGAGCTAGTAAGCATTTCTACTAATGTGTCCAATTGCAGTTGTCAAAATGCAGCTTTGCTGGGTTCACTTCTGTGTAGAGCAACCTGACACTCCTGAGCTTAATGGAGGGTTGTCCTACACTCACAGTGAACCGATGTCCCAGAAGTAGTCTCGAACAGAAAAGACTGTGCGGGGAACTAATTAAACTTTTTGCAGCCCAGACAACGGTGAAACTAAGGGGGAGTAGAGGGGGCACTGTGTTTTTCACACACTGTTGGACAGTTTGTCCAACCATGTTGTCAGCCTTAGCTCACTGCGAGAAACAGCCAGTTGAGATCTTTCAATCTATCTTGCAAGATAGATTCTCTAATTAGATGGGGTGAATGGCCTCCTCTTGTTTATAAGGTTTTCTTAGGTTCCTTATTTCTCTTAATATAACAAAACTCATAAAAGTGATACTCTATTGAAACATAAGTGTCTTTTCCTGTTTTCGAGCAGAAGGCATTAAAAAAGACTTTTTTCATGATTTTTCAACACCTACAAGTATCAATGTGCCACTACTTTTTTATCCATTTCTGTTGTCTGTATTTGTGGAAATTCCTATTTTGGCTTCAGCTTCTGTCCAGTTTATAGTAGTCTGTGATATTTAATTTCTCTGGCCGATTTGTATTCTTCGGCAGATATCGGATGACAACTTGGGATGATTAAGCAAAATTTCCAAGAGTTCTTGAAAACTGATTTTTTTTAATCGGTTCTGGGGTATTAATGAATGAGTTTCAACATTTTTTCCCCCTTCTTTTAACCTCTGGAATCTAAAAGGCACAGCAAAGCAGGGATAAATCAACTGCAGTAGGGAAAGACAGGCAGGTGATGAAACCAGTTCTAGCTGAGAGGGGGAATGAGCTCCAGTCGTGCCCTGCAGCCTGCTGGGAGCTCTCGTCTCTGCTGCCGGGGCAGGCGGGTTATTAGCGCCAGTCCCAGAACGAGCAGGCGGAAGCTGCAGCCTCCAGCACGGAGGATGGAGGATGGCGGGCAGGGCGGGGCAGGGGAGTGAGGGCAGCTGGGAGATGATCGGGAGAGAGAGCAGGAAGGTGTGACTGTCTGGACTCACCGTTCCTTCAGGCCACCCCTGGACGAGTCCTCGGTCCTGTGATGAGAAAGGACAGGAGTCCTTTTTGAGGTCAGATCAGCCTTCCACAGAAATTGGATTATTACAGTTAAAAAGATGCTTACACGACATAATACTTCTTCATAATACCGTGCCTGGTAGCAGCTGGAGGAGAAATCTCTTCATTGACTGGGAGTGTTTTAATGAATCACTTTATCTACGACAAGTAACTTGGTATTTTACAACATTTGATTGTTTCCTACCTTGAATTAAAGGGTGAAGTATATTCTATGTACTGTAACCCACTCTCCTTTTCCTCTAGGGATAATCTGTTGAATTTAAGTGGTGGTCGAAAACTGGGATGTCCTTTATCTGGCTTTAAAATACTAGATGTTGGTTGTGGAGGAGGCCTGCTGAGTGAGGTAAATGTATTGATTTCATTACTGTTTCACACTTCAAGGAGTATCAATTTTAAGAACAATCACATATATTCTGTATAGGTATTTCTCATATAGTACACTGGAAGCCAAAACACATTAGAAATCTGTGATTTACATTAAATAAAAATGAGTATTAAAGAGATGTTGTTTATAATTTTTGGTTTTCCTGGCTAGTTTGTGAGCTATGAGCTTTTTTCTTTTTTTTTTATAAAAATAACACCATGGCTTTAGAATACGTTGAGTTTTATTTTACTGAAGTCTTGCCAGCAGAGTTGCATTATTGAACCTGACAGTATCAGGTCTAATCAAATACTTAAACTTTCTATGTGCCTTTAATCGTCTGTCAGAAGAGCTTATTGTCTAACATCAGAAAAAAATAGCATCATTATAAGACATAACGTCATAACTGTTCAGCTCTACAAAATTGGAGATGACTTCTGATTGGAGATGTTTCTAATTTGTGGCCTGCATCTGTTATGGCACTTTCTAAAAAGGTGTTTTTAACCATTTCCCACCAGGCAGGAAAAGTAATTTTTGGAGCTCTTTGTGTCACTAGGACATAAATCTGTTATGAAAAGATTATTAATAAGAAGCCTGCTGGTTGTGTAAAATGCTTCCTAAGATTTCAAAGCTTGAGAGAACATAAGTCTCTTTTAATATCTCTCACAAATCTCTGAATTAATGTTGAGCTTTTCCTAAAGTGCTTGAAATGCCTTTTCTTTAGCCCCTGGGGAGACTTGGGGCTTCAGTCGTGGGAATTGATCCCTTAGAGGAAAGCATCCAAACTGCGGAGCTGCACAAGTCTTTCGAACCTGTGTTGAGCAAGCAGGTCCAGTACAGGGCCTGTTTGCTGGAAGACATCGCTGAGGAATCGAGACAGGTGTTTGATGCGGTTGTAGCATCGGAAGTGGTGGAACATGTGAATGACCTGGAGACCTTTATAAAATGTTGTCTGGATGTTTTGAAGGTGGGTGAGATCATCACACGTTAACGATGCTTCTCTTAACTTACTCTTTGTGTATACACATTCAAGTACAGAACTCAAAATGGAATGAGAATGGATCCAAAAAAATCAGGCTTAGCCAACAACTGTCGTCAAAATACCTACTTATTCACTTGTTTCTCATTGCAGCGATTTTACAGAAATGTGTGTTTGTCACAAAGATTAGAATTCATCTGTGATAAATGGGTATTGTTACGCCAGATGCCTGTTATCCAGTGTGAAATGTCTTGTCATAACTGACATCTTGTTTAGTGAGATTAAGCTCAGGAGAAATAGTGCTGGTGCTATGCAGCCACTATACTTTCCAAATAGAACTATTTTACAGGCAGACAGAGTCCATCTGAATGATACAGTGAAATACCAAGAAACAGTTCTTTGTGTTTTACCTTTTGTAAACTCAGTCCCTAGTTTTTTAGGTCCGATTTTCCAGACCAGGATTTCATGTTCTGCTGACATGGTGGCAAGTCCAGCAATAATCTCTCACCTACAAGGATTGTTGAATGCAAATATTCATCCATCCATTTTCTAACCACTCCTTCCAGTTCAGGATAGCAGGGGAGCCAGAGCTTATCCAGGCAAGAGATGGTTACAGTGTGGGGTACACCCTGGACAGGACGCCAGTCCTTCACAGACACACTCTCACGACAGGGGCAATTAACCCATTAGTATGTCTTTGGACTGTGGGAGAAAACCGAACACCTGAAGGAAACAACGCATACACAAAAAGAACATACAAACGCCACGCATTTAGCAGATAACAGAATTGAACCAGCAATGTTAACCACTGAACCAAATATGTTTTCATTAATTTTAGCTTTGAGATACTACACTCCCCACTAGCTAAGGAACCTGACTAAATTAAAAGTTTAATATTTAATCCTGAAATGTCACAGAAATACTCAAAGTAGGTATAACTTGAGGTAGCAAAGGAACAAGTAAAGGTTTATTCCATGCTGAAAACAGAAGAAGAGAAACACAACGTTTCGGCTGTGGAGCCTTCTTCAGGATAAATAATTTGAAGTAGTTCACATAGGTACTGTAGCTGCATCAACGTAGGCATGCAGTTTCTTACCCTGTTCGGATATTCAGCTTTTTAGGGTTCTGTAGCATTCCAGTTTATGCTGTTTGTGTGTGTGAGATATTGCTGTTTGATCTGTGCTGTGATGAGGATGATTCTGAGTTGTGGTGCTGTCCTGGGGCTGGCTTGTGTCGGTGTGGCTCAGGTCAGTGAGCCTCAGGACCAGCTGGCTCAGCAGGGCCTTGTGACGGTAGTTTTGGTCACTGCTTTTTAGATGTAGCCAATAGTTTATTGCTCTTTTCCGTATGTTTCTTAGCAGCAGGTATTGGCCTAATTCTGCCCTGCACATGTTGTTGGGAGTTTTTCTTTCTCTGTGCTTAATATTTATTTTTCATTATGATTAACCAGAGTAGGAGATCCTTTGTCTCACACAGCCCACCCACAGCTGAGTAAACAGCTCAGTTTCTACTATTGTTTTTCTTTTAATTTGTGACCTCTTAAATCGTAACAATTTTATCAAATGTATCCTAGCAATTAAATGACAAAAGCTTATTTTAGTCCTTAATTCTAAAACGTAGGCTAGATATAATAAATAAAGTTCATAATTATAAAGCCTGATGTAGCTAATAGTTTAATAACGCTTAAAGATACCCACATTCTGGATTTATACATCTCAAATGCCTTAATTTGCGATCGCACTGCTCTAATTCAGGCAGCAGTACGAAAAGCAGAAGCGGTACAGTGCCCCCTTGCGGAGCGCCGTGACACGTGGTGAAAATTGAAATACGTATTTTGCTGTCTTGTAAGCGTATGTAGCGTATTAGTAAATTCTCAGGATTTAATTGTAATTCACATTTCCTATTAACACACCTTAATTGAAATAATAACATCTTCGTCGCTTTATTTGTATTTTCAAGTCTTTCACATTTTTTAAACAGATTTTTAAAAACTATTTTTTCCCTCTAATTTGGCGCCCCATTTCACTTGGCGACCGGCTAGTTTGCCTGTATGGACGAGTCGGCCCTGGTATCAATTCATATTTGCAACACAAAATGAGCTCAGTTTATTTTGAGTGCAACTCGTTGTGTTTCCCAACATCTCATTTTGTAATTCATTCGACAGTGCAAGAATTCAGTTTTCCTAAGAACTGATGTAATGTACACTGATATGTTATTTTCTTATGAATTCAGATTAGTTTGCCTTTTCTGCCTGTTGACCCTAACCTGGGAAGACAGTTGTTTTATGATGAAGTGTTTTCCTCATTCATTGTTGACAGCTCACAGGGCGAAAATGGGACTCATTCCCCCTTTCCAGTTGTGGGTGTCTGGGACCTTTCCTCTGCAAGTCTGAGGATAGCAAAAAAGCAGAAGCACTGTTTGTTTGTTATTATGAAAATATAACCAGTTGTATCGCTTGTGGCTCTTGGAATAATGGGTATCTATAAGTCTAATCAGAAGGAATGTGTAAGTCTATTACCATGTCTTTCCCAAAGATCAGCCACAATCAAATCAAGCAAGAAAAAAGCCGTGTTCATGCAATAAAAAGTAAAATTCAAAGCCTTCATTTGTATGGTGTGTCCCACAATTAATTAATAAAAGTGGTTAAACTTAGAACCTGAAAACAGCAGTCTTTTTAAACAAAGAGACTAGCAACACAATAGCGGCCATTATCAGGTTGTGCTCTCTGCCTAACAGTGAAATAATTCACTGGCACTAACATTGAACTAATTCAAATTTCAGATCATTACATACATCTAAGAATGACACGCCACATAGCCGTACGAGAAAGAGTGAGAAGTATATGCGGTGACAACTGAAGTGTTAACTCAAATATTCAACTGTAATTTAAATCCAGTGAATTACACTAGGGCAGCATGGTAGTGCAGTGTAAGTAGCATTGCTGGCTCACAGCACTGGAGCCCAGTTCTTGGGGTGCTATCTGTGTGAAGTTTATGTGTTCTCCCTGTATCCCTGTGGGTTTCCTCCAGGTGGTCTGGTTTCCTCCCAGAGTCCATAGACTGTCAGATAGATTGATTGAATTCTGGGAACATTGTATAATGTATAATCTACCAAAAAAGTTGTACATCATAATTTTAACATATATTTTCCATTTAATGCTAGAAGTTCAATACTGTTACTTTGATTTGGAATATCGTTATTGGTTCATTTTGTAAAAAAAACATTTATTCTCTTTTTTATTCTCTGATAACCAAGATTTTATCATAATTAAGGGATACTTATCAATTGGTTCTTGATGTCAGAATTGTTTTTAAACTTTTTTATTAATAGCTTCTAAAATGGCATGTCATTTTTTTTCCCCATTGGTAGCCGTCAGTTCTGGTATTCTGTCTTGTATATTTTTATAGCAGCGTGTTTTTTCTTGTCTCTTTTAATTCTTCTGCAATCATTTCCCTCCCAACCGCCCACAATTAAAAAAATATTGAATCATTTTAAGATTGTTTCTGACTGTGGAGCATTTTTCATTTGTATTCAGCATGACACTCATGTCAGCTGGTACTGTAGCTTCCTGAAGGCAGTAAAATCTCAGGCTGTCTCAGTGCTGCTCCATCACAGAAATGTCACATCCAAAACACTTTGTGAGACCCACTCTGATGCAATCAAACTGAATTGTGGACACCAAACGTCTCATGAAGGAAACTATCTACTTAACGTAGGATCTGTTGCTAGCCGAAGTCTGACAGAACGCTAATTTAAATAATAGGGGAGAAACAAATGAAATGAAATGCTGCCTTTAACAAAATCCCCATGGACAAAGACTAACAAAACAAGGAGGTGGTCAAACTGTAAATGGAAATTGCAAAATATATACCAAACACTTCTCAGAGTATATAATCTGAAATTGTTTGATTTCTCCAAAATAAGTGGTTTTGTCTTGTCTAAAAATGAGAAGATGCTGATGACACCCTAGGCCCTGCACATTCATCCTATTGGTAAAATGGTCTCCTAATTGTTCATGTGGATTAGTTTATTAGTTTACTTTCAGCACCGAAGTGAAGGTAGACAAAGCCATTTTACCATTTTGATTCAGTTCGTTTGCAAGAGAGTCCAGATTTACTAGAACATAAGAAATGTTCCAAACAAGAGGAGGCCATTCAGCCTGTCTAGCCCATTTGTTAATTAATAGTTAATTGATCCAAACATCTCATCCAGTTGTTGAAATGGCTGAGTAGCTTATTCTTTTGATTGAATAATGTGTCCTGCTGAAAACCATAAAAATATATATAATAGCATTTTACTGTCTTCTTTTTAGCATTACACAAACTCATGTTTGTCACAAATATATTCCAGAAAGCACAAATGCTATATTTATTTACACCGCTGTAGTTATCCATCCATCCATTTTCTTCCAATTCAGGGTTACGGAAGAGCCAGAGCAGATTATTGTACACCTTGGATGGGATGCCAGTCCATCGCAACCACTGTAGTTGGTATTTTTTCGTATTCCTCAGGCAGGAATTTCACTACTGTTGTGTGCTTTCTGTTAGTGAACTGCCTTATTTAATAAGGATCACAATTGTTCAGTTGGACTGGAATTTGGAGATTGAGATGGTCAGGTCAGTCAAGAACATTTATGCTTGTGTGCAGCTGAATATTCCTTTGCTGATTGGGATGTGTCGTCTGAATCATTACCGTGCTAGAAAATGGTCAGAATTGAGCTTTTGGCCATAATGACCATGTATGTGTTGGAATTCACTCTAAACACCCCTCAGACACAATTAAGTCCCTCTGCTGTTTTTGTACAGTGGGCATGACTGTTTTCTCAACGTTAGCTTCACTGTTTTCGCATCAAACATAATGTTCATAACCTTGTCCAAAAGCGTTCAATTTTTGTTTCATTTGACCACGGGACATGGTTTCAGTTGTCATTCAGATGTGGTCTACTGAAGCAAATTTAAGGTGCCTCTTTCTGTGGCTCACTCTCAGAAGAAGCTTCTGTTCTGTAGCTGGTCAAAAATCCCACATTCATGCATTGTGACATTGAATGGTGGTTTTGAACACTCTGCATCCTGGCTGAAGATGCAAGATTGTTGCCTTTGGATTTACACTTGCCTCCCAAACCACAGATCTCTTCTGTAGCCTATAGTGGCAAGATACACTTGTATCCTCTTCCTGGCTGGGCTGCCATAATACATCATTTTTTTTTAATAATGGAGGATATTTTTAATAATGTAGAGAAAACTGATACAGTAGATATCTTTTTTGTGAATCCTTTTATAGCCATTCCCCAGCTTCTGGAGATCAATGGCCATCTGTCTACAGTCTTCGAATAGCTGTAATGATGCATGTTGATACTTTATGCCTTCTGCCTTTCTTACCCTGTACTAACCCCAGGGATACAGGAAATCTTTGAATGCCTACAGTATATTTAGTTACGGAGGCTTCCACTACACTTCAAAGAGCAGAACTTTTGAATTTACAGGATTAGTTAGACGTGAATAAATTGGCCCCTAATGTTTTCTGGAATTCATTAATTATGGTAAATATTATTATACCATTTCTAAAATTGTTTGAAGAACATCACATTATCCAATCCCTAATCCTATTTTAGTGGGAGTAGGAATACATCTAGAAGGCAGTGTATCAGTGAATGTGTTAAACTTGCTGTATGTTGTTTTGCACTTTTGTCTCTGATGAAATGAGAAACTCAGAAATTCCCTGAAATGAACATTTCCAGGAATAAAATATTCTGATGAGAAAAATCTAACATGAAAAAAATGTTCTCCTTGTAGACAATGCTGTTACAATTAACTTAGATTATGAAACATTATGTCCTAACATTAAAGTTGATTTCTTACCATCTCGCCCTACTGTACGTCACCAATCCAGCCAGTGGATCAAGATCTGTTCGTGCTAACTTTATATGCATGAACAGTGTGTGGGGGAAAAATCTCTCCTGAAGCATCAAATTACTTTGTCTTTTCAATGAGCCCATGATTCGAAATGGTTACCCTGTCTATTTCTGTTTCATTTTTATAGGTATAAGGTACATTAAATACAGTATAAATATCTGTGTCTGAGCTCTACAGTATGTTGGAAATGTGTCTCAAGCTGATTACATTACTTCTTTTGTAATTAATTCCCCTTTCTAAGTTATCTCGCTTTAAGATGCATTATTTAGGAGCATTACCTGGACTTACAGTATAACAGGGACCCTCTGTACTGTATTTGGTAGCTACAAGCAAAGCACACACTCAGCTTTTTTATACTTTATTTTTACATTGTTCTTAAGGAAACACTTCCCCCTTATATGTTGTTTCACTACATGTCATGACTTTCTGGTCCCTAATTCTGACATATTTGCTCAAATATATGCAGTGTTAGCTGCTATATCTAATATATATATATTTTTTATTTTACAGCCAGGAGGATCTTTGTTCATTACTACAATAAACAAAACCAACCTGTCCTATGTGTTAGGCATTGTGGTTGCTGAAAGGGTTTTGAAAATTGTACCAAATGGAACACATGACTGGGAGAAGTTTATTAATCCTGTGGACCTGGAACGACTTCTTGAATCAAGTGAGTGTTGCGGCAGCTTGGTTTTCCTACTGTAGGTTTCCCAAACAAAACAAATCAGACTTTTCCAAGTCAGCACACTCTGTGTGAAATGTTGGCATTCACTCAGATACTAATTTAGATCTAAAACTTTATTGAAGTGGTTTTAACAGAGGGTATTACAGGTTTGAGAAAATAAAAATGAAGATACCCCAGAAATGAGCTTCAGGCGTTTCCTCTTTTGCCGATTATTCTGGTTAGTTCTCTTGTTCCTCTCTTTTAAATCCTAAATATGTTTTTACTTGTACATATTTTGTGTTAAAGAGAGTGAGACTGACAGCCAAACAGTGCTTCTACACAATGTTTATCAAATCTATACACCATGTAAAAAATGGTAAAATGAAAGTTACCAAAGAAAATGATTTGTCTAGAGCAATAGTAAAATGGTTAAATCTGTTTTAGAGTAGTAAATATGTATTCACTTTAAGTAGTGGTTTTTATTGAAATAACTTAAATGACAGGTTTTATTTCAAGTATTTTAAAGTGTTTTGAACAGAAAACATACAGTATATAGTACTACAAGGATTATGTTGTGTGTGGTATTTTTGTAGGTATTATTTCAATTCAGAAGGCTAAATCCTGCTATAGTGCTGTGTGGTTCTCTCCTACAATAGAGAACATTCAGAGTTTCTCTCTGAGAATGGAAAAACTCAGTGCTTTGATTAGGAGCCATAACAATGTAGGAGAAAGACTATAACTGGTATAAAACTGCATGAACAATTTAATTAAGTTAAGGTAGTCCATATGAATCTTTAGGGGAGGCTAAAATATGCTGTCTTGAAGATACAGTATAACAGCAAAGGTCTGCAGTTTCAAGGAAATTACGGAGTAGTATAATTAGTGCTATGTACTCAAGTTTCTATCAAGATGATAAACTACCAGAAGATTCCCTTGTAGATTCAGCTCTACTTTGAGCTTGCCAGCTAATTATCAATAATTTAACAAGAAAACTCCACTACAGATGCAAAATGTTCTGCATGTACTGTACTGTAGTTTTAACTGGAAGTGTAAGATACAATACTTTTAGGAAGATCCAATAAATATAGCATTTGAGTCAAGTATTCCAAGTCAGAAGTTCCAAGAATCCGGTCTGATTAAAATGTCAAGTATTTGAAGTTTACTTGAGCTGTCAAGGAAGTGAATTTTGTAAAAGAATAGTTTTGAAGGGGATTTGCTGGAGTAGTCTGCCATACAGTCTGCTGAAGGGAGCCTCGCAGTACAGTAGTTGCCTCCTGAACTCCTTTTAAAGGTGTATCCTAGATTCTGAATGATGTGGAATACATTTTTGTTTCCTCCTATGTACCTACAGTAGATGAATCTAATATACTGTATATTTTATACCTTACACAAGAAGTGTCAGGATTTGTTTGTGTGAGGCTTTTATCCCAAAGATGTGGTAGCACAGCAGTTAGTGCTGCTGCCTTGCAGCTCTTAGGTCCTGGGTTTGATCTTGGCCTGAGGTACCATCTGTGTAAAGTTTGCTTGTCCTTCCGGTGATTGTAGTGGTTTGTTGTCATGTGCTGTTATTACTATTTAATAATAAGTTGTTCCCTGTATATATGTGTGCCCTGAGATGGATATTAAGCTGTTATTGAAAAATGGTAGATGTCAGTCTTCATGGATATTAGAAAGTAGGGTTTTTCACAGAACATACAGGACATGCTAAAGTGACACGGAGATATAAAAGTGAAAAGAAGTACAACTTTGTATCTATATCTGTTATGGTAATAAAAGTGTTCATATTATTATATGTATATTGTGTGTACAGTGCCTTGCAAAAGTGTTCAGGCCCTTTAAAAAGTTTTGAAAGTTGCTGAATTACATATGATACTTACACATCTTTTTCCGATCTCTATTTTAATTGTAAACTCACATGCTCACACAGAAGTTTTTTTAAAGACAAAATTAGTTATTTGTCAGCAGATATAAAAAAAATGAAATATGCCACTTGCATAAGTAAGAACTAAATAGAGCTTCAACCGTTTTTCAAAAAAGAATGCTCAAATATTGCCAAATCTAGGTGAACCAAGTTGGTAGGGACCAATCCCAACAGACTTACTGGTTTAATTGCTGCCAAACCCGTTTCCTTCAAGTATTAATTTAGGGGGTGGAGACTTATCCAGTTTTGATATTTCAGTTTTGTATTTTTAATGCGGGTGTTTTTTCCCCAGTAAAAAACATCTTCTGCTTAAAAGTGTGGAGAATGAAGAGTAGATGAAAGGAAAAAATGCTCATTTTAAACGCATGAAATTCTGAGGCAGTGAAACAACAAAATCTGAAAAAAGTTCAGGGGGGTGTAGCCTTTCACTGTACATATATCTAAAAATTCCTTAATGAATGTTCCTTTGACAGTTATTCTTTTCTCTTTTTTGCCACTGTCGCAGATGGATTCTGTGTTGAATCTATTCATGGAATGCTCTACAACCCTGTGTCTGGTTCATGGAGCTGGACTAAGAGCACATCTCTCAACTACGCAGTTCATGCAGTGAAGCAGAAAGAACAACCACAGTCTGATTTCACAAAAAGGTCAGAAGATCAGGAACAGTGGGATAACAGCCAGTAGTACCTCTGAGGTTACGACTCATAGCTGATAATGGTGGAGAAGGCAAAGTTTTGATTTTTTTTATCGAGACATCAAAAAAATGTTCTCAGTAAGCAGTCAATCACTTTACATAAAAATATCCCTAAAAAAAATCAGGTTTGAATTTGCTTTAGTGTGGTTACCATTCTGCATGTATCTAGGTACTTTGTAAGGACACTTTTGTGAATAAAATATATTATTTAGCTTGTTTTCATTTCTTCTTTCACTCTGTGTATTTAGAGTGTAATTGTGTACTATCATTACACTAGTAACTACTAAACTATTAATATTTCCTTGTGTTTGTATAGTGTTTTTCATCCCAAAGCACTTTACACATAGGAGGGCACCCACTTTGATAATCAGTGAAGTACAGTATCCACCTGGTTCACTACACAATTGATGGGTAGATTTCCTTGCTAATGGGGAAATTCACAGATTGCCTTAATTAAGATCTGTCCACCGCATATTATAGCATAGACATCTAAAACCCCAGCTCTTCCAAACAATGCCTTGGGATCTTTAATTACCAAGTTGTTGGCTCCTTGGTTTCACATCCTCCTATAGCACAATGTTACTGATCCCTGTAATGGGGCATGATTAGGACATTCAGATCCACAGGGAAATGGGAAACACTGATCTAGAAAAGGTACAGTACTTATGAAAAAGACTTTGGGATTTATGTTGCCCTAGCAAGAATGCTTGTGCCATGAAAACAAGACATTAAGATTCGTCTCTCCATCATGGGGAAATCACAGCGAAATGCTTGGATAACAAAGCAAGCATTCGGTGATTGGTTCAAAGGGAAAAAAAAATCTAGAGCATAATAAAACAGTGTTGCACTTGACCTATATTATGAATCTTTATGCTCCAACAATAGAGTTGAGTTTGTACCGCTACACACTATATCTCTGATCTAACTAATGGATAAATGGTCCATTAATGAGTGTGATTGCTAACTTTAAGGCCTAGTGTCTATGTAGTGAATCAGGAGACTCATCAAGGATACAGACAGCAAAGAAAAAGTCTGCACAGAACCTTTGGAAAACGTTTAACATAATGGACGCAGTGATGTACATTAGTGAAGCATGGGATGAAATACGTGTTCAATGCATGAACAGTGCTTGGAAAAAAATCTCCACTTTAACAGTAAACAACTTTGCTGGATTCGCCGAGACCATTCAAAAATAGCTGGTAACACTAGCAAAGAGTCTTGGACAACGTCAAGAATGAGGATTTGGCTGAGCTGCTTGCTTCTTTCCAGAATCGTTCAGTAATGAAGACCTGGAAGAGGTAAATAAACAAGCTTTTGGAGAGTAAGGCCAGGACAAAGGCGAAGAGGACAAAGGAAGATGAAGAACTTAAAGTGACACCATAGCCATATTTTAAACTGATTGTTCTTCTGAGGCTGCAGGTCTCCTAAATTACAGCTTTTTGAGCTATCAACATATTTTTGATGCAAAACTTTGTGGTGGCAACCAGTTCCAAACATACGTTTTCTGAAGAAATTTAGTGCAGGTAAGATAATCAATTCTGCAGTAAGAGTGACAATATCTACAAGTGCCAATCTACAAGAAAAGTGAGGTAAGTCTTGAACATTTGTATTTTAAGACTGCCACCACCATTTTAAGGTTTTGCATTGTTTTAATATTGACATGGGGGAACTCTGGTGGAAATAATGGAGCACCAGTATAATTGTCATGTTTATGCTTGGCACCTGATATTGTATTCTCTGCATTTGGCAATGGCGATGGATTAGTGTGATACTTTTGCTGAATTTACAGATCATCATATGTGTCTATATCATTCAAATAGCTTTCGGACTGTATGACAACATTGGCGATACACGTCGATTGATTAATTAATATTTGTGTCTCAATTCCTTTTCTCAAAACCCTTAATTCACTGACATCACTTAAATTATTGACATGACCCTTACGGAATACACACTTACAAACTCTTAGACGTTAAAATCAATTACGGCTAAATATCGGATTAAAATAGTCACCGTAATTGCCAAATATTAATATAAATCCATCAGGGATGCGGGACTAATATTATTAATATTTGAATATTTATTTCCGGTTTGAAGGACACGCTACAGGACTGCAATATATTTTGGTTACGTACTGTAATATCCCAAAAGACACAATAGTAACGGGAACTTTACACTACGTGACTGTAATTATGTAAGAAACAGACTGTTAACCCCTATTTTTTTAGATCGTGAATAAACACGAGTGTAAATTTTAAAATAATAATCGCTATGACTACAGCAAGCCATTTCACGATTGCAAAACTCAGTCCAGATAACCAGCCCGCTATCTTGAGAATGAAAACTGAGGGGTAGATTGTTCTAATTCGTAATGTGCATTGCAAATCAGGTGTTTCCCATCTAAAACTTCCTTAACCGCTGTTGTTATCCCCGATGGTCTTCAGAGGAGGGAGGGTTCTGCGTGTGGACAGAATCAATAACACTCAATGACATCATGAGTTTCCCCTGGAGCAGACAAAAGGCTGAAGTAGCTGCGGAAGGATGCTGTCTCCTATGCAGAGACCGGGACCGGGCAGAATGTTGTCTTTTCGCATTCTGCATCTGAAATTACCGGTCCCCCTGCATTTGCACTAATGCAACAAATTTGATGAAGCCTAAAAAAAACCGGAGTCGAGGAAGCGGGCGGTGAATCTGACGAAGAATGTACTGGGGTGTTGGTTTTGCCTCGTCCCGGTCTTGTGTGGTTGATCTGAGCAGGAATCAAAGCTTTTCTTTTGGATTGTGCGGCTCCGATGATCACTACTCCCTTTATGGGTACATCGTCACTTTCCCTCTGCAGGACTACAGCTGGATCATGTCGGGGCTGGGGTCAGATTCCTGGTGGAAAAAAACCCTGTATTTGACCGGGGGGGCCCTGCTCGCCGCTGCTGCCTACCTTCTTCATGAGCTGTTGGCAATCAGGTAGGAAAACACGAGGAAGGGTGACATAAACATACCGTGCCCTCACAAAGAGTGGCTGTACACGGTGTTTATGCATATATGTACTCTATATCACACAAACATACACACATAGGCCTTGTTTGTGCTTGTATATCTACATGATAATATGTATGTACCGACCCATGTAGTGACATAGGCACCTTTATGTTATTGATAAGTATTCAGACCAATTTAAATGCATTTGCAAATTACATTTTGATATCACTCCCATTTGCTATTGTTTTTTCCTTTATTATTTTATTGTCAATGTATTTAAAGGCTTTCTGTTCACCTGATCAGGCAGTGAGCGGGGTGTGGGTGTACTGTACACAGAATCGTTCTGGATGTGTAACGGTTTGATATCGCAGTTCATTTGAGTCCATCGTGATCTGACTACGCAAACCCTGCCCTCATGATGGAGTTACTACAGCTGTAATGCTTATGAAACCAAAGTCATATCCCAGAGTAATAGCTACGAGCTCGTTTGACGATATTGAGCTATATATGTATATGTATAATATGTGCTCAAAATAGAAGATGTTTTGCATCAGTAGTTATACTTTAGCATTCATATTAAGCACCATGTTCTGGATGGGTGGGCAAACACATCTGTTTACCTGCCTTTACACTGGCCTGTTTCAAATCCGAATCCCTTTATCTGACACGGATATCAAGGTCACTAGATCGTACATCTCCTATCCAGTTGGGGGAAAATATAAGCAGTTTAATGTTTATTTTTTGTTTAATTAAAACAAACACAAATCATAGCTATCTTAGGCCCTTGATGCTGCGGTAATATCTCGAATGACCTTTTAACGGTTACTGACTTAAAAGATATTCAGAAATAACCTAGTTTCAGGAGGTTTCCAGAGAGGCTTTCTAGAAAGGTAACCAGATAAAAATAGATACTAAGATGAAATAAATATGATTCACTTGGTTGCATAATGTTGTTTCAGAGCGCTAATCCATAACCAATAACCATAACCATATTACATAACCAAAGGTGTATACAGTAGCCTGTTGGATTGTAAACACTGTTATGCTATAGTACAGCACTACTGTAACAAATAAGCCTACTTCAAGGAATCGTTCTAAGTTTTGTATATTCCAATTGCAGAAATTTACCTAAAATTACACAATGTTGTCCTAGAAGTAATTTCAAGTTGTTTAACCAAGTCATTTGCTCAAAATGACTGTCACTGTTATCTCTTCTTTCATTTTTATGGTTCCAATGACGTGCCAGGCATTGTGCTTTTGTCTAAATAAAACATACATTTTGAAAGTATCAAAGCCTTTTCACCATTACCTGTAAAATAGTTTGCAATATAATGACTCTTTTCACTGGGAAGGGTGAAGACTCTGTACCAAGGAACAGAGTGATTAGCACTTTGTCTCATACAACGAATGGTTTTGATGACAGAGCACAGCTTCTTATAAGACAACGGTACACTGGTTTTGAAACGAAGAAGGGGAAAACAGAAAGTTAAACTAAGAATGAAGGGAAGTAGATCACCTTCCCCTTGTTTTGTATCTAAACTTCTATTCTTAAAGGTGTCTTAAAAATGTTGTGGATACGTTTTGTAAGAAACATTCTAGTGACAGTAATTTAAAAACACAGATAAGCTGTCTAATAAAGAGACATTTCATTGTGTTCCACATTTTGAATGTGATTATTTATCATTGTCAGCAGCTCATGACAATGCTTTGCAGGCTTTTAAACCTCTACCTTTCCAAATTAAGTTTCAAGCGAGACCTGACTTTAAGCTAACTTGGAGTCTATTTCTATGTATGTGTTCAAGAAGACAGCTTAGTTATTTTTCCTTCCTTTATAGCTTATTTGGTGTGACTTTGTGAAGTAACACAATTATCAATTATAGAGAATTAAATAGCAATGACAATGGTAATAACAATAACTTGATAGTTTTAAGTTAAAGACATGTATATCATTTACATTGTAAAACTAAAGTTTCAGCACAGAACCCCCAAAACACCAAAATGAATGGAGGCAGACTTCCATGGTTACTTTGAACTAAACTACTTCAAAATATGGTTTTCA